CAGAACGATTTTAAAAGCAATGTAAATAATAACAAATTAGAAGGAAAAAGACATTTAAAAAAATACAGATTTAAGTATTCTGACACAGAACGATTTTAGAAGCAATGTATTTATATTGGTAGTATGTTTCGTGCCTGCACCAAATAATAACAAATTAGAAGGAAAAAAAGATGACATAAAATACAGATTTCAGTATTCTGAGGCTCTGAGCCATTTCTTTTCCTCACTGACGGCAAAAAAACTCAGACATTATACAATTTAAAATAAAAGGGATAGGGTTAGGCTTAGGGTAAGATATTGAGTAAGAACATGTTTTTATGAACCACACAGCTTCTGGTCTTCCAAGACCCGACCGGACAAAAACACGTGTTGCAGGCACGAAACATACTACCAATTAAAATCGTTCTGTGTGACACGAAAAAAAGGTGAAAATCGTGTTGGTGAACACGAATCAATAGATTAAATTAATTTCGTGACTAATAACACGAAATGCCGTGAGACTGGGTTGATATATAATAGATTTCATTATATATTTTCTGTGGATAACTTTACTTTTCAACTAGATTTTTGTGCCAGTGTTTGGCACTGTGTCACCCTTGAGAGATACTCCTTAAGGCAGGAAGCACAAATAATAAGTACCAAGCTGATGCACATGGGTACACACAGAAACAGCAACGGAGAAATTGGATCTTTTTTTTTCATTTCCTAAGGGCTAACACAACAGACTAAAAAAAAACAGCTATCCATACAGGATGTTGTATATCTCTGAGAGTTATCTATCAGAGCATTTGTGTTTAGCTTTTCAGTTTTGTCATCCTAAATCCACAATGCATAAACCAGCCTAAAAACAAAGAATCCTTAAATTAGTTTCAATATAGAAAGTATGCCAGATGTAGATTCTGCTGTGCTAATTGTGGTAGCTCAAATGTAATGCATTCAGCCTCTTTCTAACTCTTAGCAGGCAAAGAAAATATTCTGCTCAAATCATATTTTATTCAGTGCTCTCGAGATGGGAAAGCACCTCCCCGGAGCAGCCCTGAATCTGAAAAACTAGTGAACTTCATAAAGTATTTTTAGCACCAGCAATGTTCTAGCTCAGAGGCAACTGCTACACTGGTTCTTCTTACTTGTGGTCAAGTAAAGTCAATAAATATAATTTGCAATATGACCTCTGAAAGGAAGACTACCCTAATGCATGAAGTTAAGTTTTAAGAGTCTTCTATCCTCTGGTGGCTAACTTGATATAAATCCTGAACTACTAAGTACAAGGTTTATTAGTTTAAAAATCTCGCCCTGATAGTGGTATGTTCTCATATAACAGTTACGCCTTCCTCCAGCACACTAACTTTCCCAAATCTGATTACAGAGGCAGTCGGGGAAGTTTTGTGGAAGTGAGCTCACTGTGGTCTCTTCCTTTGGTCCCTGATCAAGATAATGAGGATTTCAGAGGACGATACTGGAAGAGTATCAACAGTCTCACGGGGACGACTACATCAGCAACAATGTCAAGAAGAGACTGTTACTTCATTTATTTTGCAAGTTGGGTTTTGACAGTTAATAGGGGATGTTTGCCAAGGAAGTTCTATGAGTGTTTGGGTTGGAGGGATGGCGTACAAACCACAGGAATTTGACACCCAAGTCCAGGGCTCATTTCCTGAGCTGTGGTTTAGGGTATAAGAGCACTTTGTCTGAGGTTAGGGGAAGATTGTGGTGTGGTTACATGTCAATAAAGTATGTCTCCTGCCTTCTGTCTCATGCTTCATTTCTTCATCTGCTGATGTATATATTTATTTAATGACTTAGAAAAAGAGCTGTGAGTGTGCTAACATAACAATAAATGCTTTGTTGTGCTTTTATTTATGTCTTAATGTGTGCATATGTATACATGTGTCTGTTGATTGTGTATATATAAGTATATACATATTTTTATATATATTTGTTTTTGTATTCCGCTTTGTGGGAAACTGTATTTCGATCTCTCCGTCTATACACACAAACTGAAAGATTGACAATAAAGTTGACTTTGACTTTAGATGTTCGAGCACATTTGAAAACACTACTGCATATTTGAAGTTGTATAAAGCCTTTTTTTGTTTCCAGAGGAAGCTGTGTGAAGTCTGATAAATTGCCTGAAATGATGTCAGGTGGGACTGAAGACTATACAAGTTTGAAAATAAAAAGCTGCTACAAACAACGACACGCCCAAAACTCTGTCTGAACTGTTTCCGGTCAAGTTGCATTATTATAGAAGTGTATTGTTAAATAGGTGCAGTACTCCTTTAATACTGTTTCCCCATTATAGCAATAATCAACAGAATAAGGGTGGCATGGAGTTGCACATTTGTAGGCGACAATTAAAACAGTAGGTACACAAAAATGAAAAAACCATGAGATTCAGATTTAGCGTTCCCTAATCACAATGCTCTCATTAAAAAGTCAGACACGTTAGTACACTGTAGAGATGAAGCAGCTGGAGGCTAGAGAAGAAGCAATATTACTGCACGCATGTGTGCTCATAATTCCCCTTTCGTTTGCATAGTGTAAATCTTGTGACGTCTTGTTTGTTACAAAAATAAACACACATTCTTAATGAAATTCTTCATGCGCACACACACACACACACACACACATGACATGAACACCTTAACATGTATAGTATCATTACAGGCTCATACTGAATGAACCCTGTGGTACATTTCTTTCAAGGCTGTCTGTTCTTTGCTCCAGTTCTGTCTAACTAGTGAGGGGGAAGCCCTGGTGTACTGCAGCTAAAAGCCGAGTCTCACCAAGGAATGAATAATGAATCTAGATTCCCCATCCCGTCTATATCCGCATACTAGTTCAAAGGCCTCCTGCTAGTCCATGCATAAAGCAACAACACACACAACTCTCTGCTAATGGCCCTCAACTCCAGAGGCTGGACTGAGTTCACTGAGCCATGAGAATGTCCCAGTGCTGAGGACGAAGACGTCAGATGAGGAGGACGTGATGAGGAATTGCTGAAGAGTTTGTTGGGTGGGGGGATGGCAAGGAAAACAGACACATGTACTGTACGCTTAAGCACCAGCAGCATGTAATGTGTTAAGGCATGCAAAAACACACACACACGTACACACTTACACACAGACTCAGGAGCTACTGGAAGCACAAGTCGTCCCAAGGGAAGCCTGGACGCTTTATTGATGCTGAGTGATGTTAATGACCCCCCCAGCACTACGGGGTTGCAACGAGAGCATCGGGTGAGGCTGTCACAAGGGATGACATATCAGGGCAAGCCACTAAGTTCTATACCAGTTACTGTAGTAAGACCTCAGGAATAATCGTATTTATCCACTCTTATATGGCACTTGTGACGCTATACAACACTGTTATATCTGCAGGGGCTGAGAATGTGTGTGTGAGTGTATGTGTGAGTGTGTGTGTGTGTGTTTGTGTCTGAGTAAGCTACCAAATGTGTACAGTCATTTAGCCCTTCTCCTGATTAGACTGAAAACAAAAGCCACGGCTATCAACAAAGGAAGCAGCCCTCTCCCTTTGAGCCCATCAAAGGAGAAATGTTTTTTGTGAAAAGTAAGAAGCTCAGAGGGAAAAACCCTCCCCTAAAAAGGTACCATGTGTTTCACGCACTCTTTCTTGTGTTTTTCTAATTTAATTCCCCGACTGTTTCCCTTACCTCTGTTCTGTCCCTTTTGCTTTCACTCTGGATTTCCTCCAGCACTTCTTCTCTTGATCCCCCTACCCTCGTCTCTTCTTTAATCCCCCCCTCTGCTGCCTTAACCATCATAACACTGGCTTCTTGGTGTGACAGAAGCCTGCAGGAATCCTATTGGGAACATTTCCCAGAATCCCACAGCAGCAATAAGAGAGACTGACCAACCAGCACTGCACTGAAATCCTTAGGGTCCTGGAAGTCCTTCTCAGGTCTGTGTTCATCACAATGAAACTTTATTGGTAAAGTTGAAAGAACTTCAAGTTCTGGCAGATAGAGGGTGGAGTGTCTGGTTTAATTATAACATAACAAGTGTTCAATGTCATGCATGGGAGGAGGCTACCAATTCTGCCTAGCCTCTCAGACCATGATAGGCTGTAAGTGAACAGGAGAGGGCCATTAGTCCTTTTAAGTGAGAATAAGTCAAATAATGAGGTGATAAAACGTGATCCTTTACTGGTTCATTGGTTAGAGCTTCACTTCTTGAATGTTTAAAGTCAATCTTTCTGGTTAATACATGGGAGGATTCTTCGCACCTCACTATTAACAGGGCGCAATTCCATCCTGTAGGATTATATGTCACATTGATCGATAAGAACTGGATGATATAAAACAATTTGATGTGTGTCTAATTCATAAAAACCCTACAGCAAATTGATGAAAAGCTGTTATATATTTAAAAAATGTGCACTGAAAGTGAAGCATTTTACATTTCCTGACCTGCAACACAACATAGGCTTCTTTAGAACCAAACTATGATATAGCTCAAATATTTAGGTACACAATGCAAGATAAGGTAGCAGAGGATATTTCAGAGACACACAATTAAATGCCATTAATAATCCACATCTAATGTTCTTTACTCTTAATGCAATGTACCTGGTGGAAATTGCAAATTCAAATGACCTTACTGTATTAGTCAGTCCCGATCAAATTATAAGATCCTTCCTTAATAGCATTACAGTAATTGAGTCCTGATTACAGTAAATGTGAAATGTTCCTGTACTCACTTATATTCAATGATACATGATATTAGGTTTGAGTTGTATTAATGTCTTCACTTAAAAACCAAAGCAACATTTAGAGTAAAAATGAACTCCATTAATACATTGTGTCTCCTGCTTATTAACTCCCCACCAGGTTCATTAAGAAAGCATGCGGCCTCTGAAATCAGCCTATTGTTCCCTGCAGTGGAGACTGGAAAGTTGCTGTTTTCTATTAAGTGGAGATAATTTGCTTGAGCGTCATTATAGGTGAGTTGCGTATGTTGTGGGAAAATGAAGACACTGACCTCGTTAAAGTGAGCCACGGCATCACAGTTCTCCGCCACACGGCTGTAGAAGGACAGACCTGGAAGGTGAAGAGGAATTTGGAGGTTAGAAATTGACAGATGGTTCAGTAATGACATGGGTTGTCTGTTCAGCTTGAGAGAGCACACACAGCATGGTGATGATAGAGCACAGGCAAAAGCAATCAGTCGTGGTACTTATTTTTATTAGTCTGGGGCATTTAGGTTGCCAGTCACAGTTTTATACAAGAATATAAAAATGTTGAAGGAAAAACTGTATTTTTCTACTTTTGTATATTCAGTACTTCTGATTTTTTTTGGATTTTTTTAGCGTTTAGCATTCTTGTTTTAATTCAACTTCTTAATGTATGATAAACATGTGTCTTCTATGTTTACTAGGTCATAAAGTAGTTTAAAAATGCAGAATTATAAGTTGCAGAGTATTTTTTACAATGTGGTTTTGGTACTATTGCTTTTTTTTGGTTGCCAGTCACACTTTAATAAATACAAGAATATAAAAATGTGGGAAAACAGTTTAAGGCAATTGTGATTTACTTTAGTATTTCCATTGTGTGCTACTTTATTTCTATACTTCACCTTGTACTTGTGATTTTATAGGATTAATGTTTCTTTTTTCTACGTTAAGCATACTTGTCCTCATTTATCTTCTGCATTTATTCGAAACACTTTTCTTCTATGTTTACATAAAGGTCATAAAATAGAAAATAAAAATGGTTTTAAAATGCACAATTATGAGTTGTAACGTAGTCTTTTTACATTGTGGTTTTGTACTTTTCCTAATGTAAAGGATGGATTATCTGAGAGACCTTTATCAAACACTACCATTTAAAATCCCTGTGTACATTTGTCACATTAAAGTCCAGTGAGAAGACAAATGGACGCCTTAATTACCTGATAAACACACAAATGAGACAGGAAGTGTAGAGCCAAGGGAGACAGAAAATAAATGCAGACAGCTTCAATATGACTCACTATGCGACAAAATAAAACAGAGAGGAAACACCGGAATAGAAATAATATAAAAGAAGTGAGATTGTTGCCCATATTAAATAAATTGCACATTATTACATTTGAGTGCAAACAATAATATCTAGGTGTGTATTCAGGGTTATACAGAGGGCAGAGAGCCGTTCACTGGAAGGTAACCCGGCTCACTCATGCATGTTGAGCTGCTGTTCACCTGGTTGCTTTGTAACGCTCATGAATGGTGCCGAGCTGCTGAGTGTATTCGGCCTTTGTTGAGTTGGTTTGCTTTGTGTATCTGAGGCTTTGTGTGGGTGTTATTTGTTTGGGTGCATGTGGACAGCCTATCTGTACTGATATATTCATATATATCCAAACACACATATACAAAGGTGATTGCAGACCCAGTCGGTCTGGCTGTAATTATAAGTTCAAATAGAAATAAATATTGTTTTCCCCGGCATTAATGCATTGTTGTTTGGGATGAAAGCATCTTTTCACACATTCACAGAACACATTACCTGTGAGTTTCGAAAGAGAAAAAGAAAACACAGATATACGAATGCAAAACAGAAATATCTACAGCCTCATCCGTATCATTTTATCAGCACATTTAGACTTTTGTCCATGACCAAAGATGTTATCCTCTCTCTTTTACCTCACTCCCCGATCTCCACAACCTTTACAAAGCCCAGATCTTATGAAATATTTGTACGAGAATAAACACCACTTAAATGACAGAAAGGGAAAGAGGCCATATTCCTCCTACATTATTCAATACAGAGGCATCGCTGTCATACCAGTGTTTGTATCTGGCTGAGACGTGGGTTTAGAAAGTAGATTATGTGAAGCTTATGTAAGGTGCTTCACACCAAACTAAAACACATTCTGTTAATCAGGATGCCTTCTGGCCTTGGTGGAAACTGTGAAAAATAGAAACACTTATGTATAATGGCACTGAAAGAGCCAAACTTTGGTTTTCGTTTCCGAGCTGGAAGACGGAGAGGAACAAAGTAAAAGAACAGAATGGGGAACATTGTGACCAAAGATAAAAATTAATGGGGCAACAGTGTGCTTACCTTCTGTCTTTCTCTATCAACCTGAATCTATAGTGAACAGCAACATTTAGTGCAGACCGGCAGACTGCAAAGCAGGAAAGCAGAATGTTTACTATCTCCCTGTATGCCTCCGAGCACTTCACATTTGTTGTTCCATACTGTGATTACAGTTCCTCTTATTTCCTGACCAATTTTCGAGCAGAACAAGAGACAGGGTGAATGCTAAATCACAATTTAAAATAAACAGAGAATTTATGATTGGCAGAGGACGTAAAGAAAATGGTTTCAGTCAGCTACAGGGAAGATAGGGAATGGTGTGTGGGGGATACAGTAGCCTGCACAAAGCTGTTTCATCCCATAAAATATCAAATATTTAGAGTTAAAGAGATGACGGGGATGAGCAAACTGTCTAAGTAGCCGGGGGGGAAGTCATGTTGTTTCAGTAGGAGTGGTGGTAGACGACAGACAAAAGAGGATTGGGCTGAGAGTAGCAAGCTGTAGTCGTGGAATATGTTAAAAGCTTAAATAATTATTTAATTTCTAGTTAACTCTGATTTACATATGGTGTGATGATCCTACAGGCTACTGTGCAAAAAGAGCTGGAGTGTCATTTTTGATAATGCCAAGAGCTATAGATAACAGCAGGGCTTCATCAAAGACTTGTCAAAACTCAATTTAGTTTTGATGCCTCCCCTTTGAAGAAGACTTCATTGCCCGTGGTATCAGATAATAAAGAACACGTTTAAGGCTGAGTGGAGAGAAGACTCTGCAGTTTTCTGATTACTATACGTTGAAAGCAGTCGATGTATGCCTTTTATTTTCACAACATTTGAAAGATGTTTGATACTGGATCATGTATTTTTCCCCACCAAACATAAGATAAGGAGCAGGCTTTACATACATAACATCGCCCCACCAGCCTCTCTAGGAGTCATTTGACATGCCAGAGGGGGGCTGCAGCTTCCTGGCAGACTTCTTCCTCTCCAGACAGGACGCTGGTTGAGCTGAAAGCCCCTAGGAAGTGCTACTGACAGATTGTAGCGAAAAGAATGACTCAAAAACCTGCAGCACTTTAAAGAAACTGGGAAAACAAAACTGACAAGTATTGTGAAAAGAAGTGGATATGCACGAGAATTCCATGAAGAATGAAGTAAAAACAACAGCTGTGATGGCCGAGTGGTTAAGGTCTCCCCACGCAGGTTCAAATCCTGCTCACAGCCTTTGAAGAGTCTTTAAAATTCTAGAGCTGACTGATTGTTGCTCAGTGAGACTTGGAACTACCCTAAATGCTGAAGAATGAAGTAAAAACAGCTGTGATGGCCGAGTGGTTAAGGCGTTGGACTTGAAATCCAATGGGGTCTCCCCGCGCAGGTTCAAACCCTGCTCACAGCGTTTGAAGTCTCTTTAAGCTTCTGGAGCTGGCTGATTGCTGATTGCTGATTGCTGCCAAGTGAGGCATTACACTTAGTTAAAGCTCCCAAACTTGTTCTTGTTTCCCGCAAGGAGCTCATACGGTTACGCGGCGATTCCAAACAGAACAATTGTAAACAGCTGTGATGGCCGAGCAAAGGTAGTATCTATAAGTAGAATATAATGCATGTAGCGACCATGTGATTGAGATACATTTCCCGTTTTAATGTGTTTTTCCTTGGCCTAAACTACACCCTTCCATCAAGTTTCATGAAAATCTAAATCATGAAAAATCTTGTTAACAAAGAGACAAACCATTCAACAACGTAAGTGCGTATACAGCCTCCTTAAACCCTTAAACATGCAAAAGTAAAACCAGTTTTTATTGTGTACAAAAATAATGAGCAAATAATGACTCAATCAGAAACATCTTTCCATCTGAATTAAACTAATCATATTGTAAGCGCCGTGGTCATTCAGAGTATGATGAATTTGATTTGCTTGTATCTGTTGTTGCATTGCTCTCACTCGCCCACTTTTCCTGTGACTCTGTTATCTCTGTTATTTAATAGCCCAAAATTAACAAAATGAAACACACACTTTAGATCTGACCACTCAGATGGAGTGATTTCTTTCTCTGATTGAATACATTACATTACATGTCATTTATTAGACGCTTTTATCCAAAGCAACTTACATACATTCAGTACTGTGGGCAATCCCCACAGGAGCAATTTGGGGTGAAGTGTCTTGCCCAGGGACACAATGACATGCTGACTGCAGTGGGACTCGAACTCACTATCCACTGAGCCAGAGCTGCCTATATATATATATATATATATATATATATATATATATATATATATATATATACACCATGCCTTCTATCAAAAGGCTCTACTCACAAGCTCTTGCTGAGAAAATAAGTTCAGAATGCCTTAAAATAAGGATTCATAGTCAGGCTAACATGAAACAGCCCTTACTTTGCAAACTTGGAGAGACTTAAGATATTTGGCCAGAGAAAGGAAAGTGCAGAGGCAGGGCTGAGGAGAGGGGCCTCATCTTGGAATACAGAACAGAGAAGTACATTTGTGTAAATGTGAGAGGAAATGGTGTAACAAAACTGGGATCTTATCTATGTTTCATAATGAAATAAAGTAATTCCAGGTAAATTATTAACAGTAAGTGACTTAAAAATAGAAATTCCCCACATGTTGTCACATACAATAAAAGAGTAAGGGGTGATGTATCTACAGAGGATTAAATCCTGAACACCCAGCTCCTCTCGGTTTAACTGAGCCAAACCGAGCCCGCAACCTAGCTGTTTTTATTCACTTTAACCTCTCTTATATCCAATGTCGGAAAGTACATTTACTCATGTAATGTTCTTAAGTACTTTCTTGACTTTTACTTGAGTACTTTCATTTTATACTACTTTACACTTCTACTACACTACAGGCAAATATTGTACTGTTTATATTTATTTTACACTCACAGTTACTAGTTTCTTTGTACACTCAAAAACACATGATATGCTGATATAGTTTAATGCAGTACTGTACTGGTAATCTGCACAGTACTTCAAGTATTTACATTTGGTCCACATTGACAAACTACAACTTTAAAATGCTCTTGTATGCATAAAAACAGGATGATATAACAACCATAACAATATAATACTATGAAAAGATCAAATTTGGATGGTGAGGAATATTACTTTTACTAATACTTATTAAGGTACACTCATTTTATACTTATGTAATTTACATTTTTCTGAAATAATCCATTGTGAGTAGCCTACACTTTAATGCAAATACTTTTGGACTTTTACCTAAGTCAAATTTTGAATTCACAGTTTTAAAATACTGGTATGGAGTATTTTAAGAAGATAGAATCTGTACTTTTAGTTAGGTAAAAGATCTGAGTACTTCACCCAACACTTCTTATATCCCTGTTTCAGCAAAATAGTCTAAAACCCCACTGCTTACATTACCTGCTCTGCACTATCCCCAGTCTGTGCCTCGTGTTAGCATAGGGTAACATTTAATCATCTTATTTAACCGAATTTAAGAAGAACATAGCACTTACTGTCCTAATGCTGATTCCAGGATGCCAATGTCTAACCATGTTGTTGTAAATATTCAGTCTGTTTTTAAATATTTAAAACCCTCTCTCACGTTGCGTATCAAAACAAAGATGGAGGCCGCCTGCCTGGATTGGAAACTGAATCGGAAACGGATTTAAATCTTCTTCATCAGGGACCTGCTTTTTTCTCCAGGTAGATGAAGATGTTTGGGACTCCTATAAACTGTGTCTGAACAAAGGTAAGTGTTTTAAACCTTCTGGGTTCATTACAAATCGCTTGTTAATGATCGTTCAGGTGTTACCTCTCTGAACCGGATGTAGCTAACACCTGTTCGTTATGCTAATGATACATATGATATGCTAATGCGCAAGTGGCAACTAGCTAGTGAAGGTAGTGGAGCAATTATCAGTAATTTAGCCAGATAATTCATAACTGTTGGAAGAGACTAAAAACAAAGCATAAGAGTGAATAATTAAACTTACCAGGTAGCCAGGAAACACGACACCAATTGAGTGATAATGCTGCTTTAATACTGCTGGAGGTGTAAATACGTGGCTGTTTGCTAACAACTTTTTCTTATCAACCTAAAAGATGGTGAATGAATGATGATTGTCAGTGTTGTGGTGATATGTCACTGTTACACCGTATTCTGTGACTCATTCTGTTTGGATTTCACTAATTTAACAACTTTAAATCCACTAGAGTTGATATTCTATTCCCCAGGTCACATATTCTGATGCATCACACAATACAGTGTAACCAGTTTGAATTGGTGTGTTCAACATGCATCTAATAAGAAAATATTGTGTGAGGATTGTGTGTGATCTGCATTTTCTTTAACAATATGGTACAGCTTTTGACACAAGTGACAAACAGTGCTTTGAACTTGTTTCAGCTAACAACTTAGCAAACAGATGAACTGCAGAGAGTGTGCTGCTGACAGTTGGCCCATGGGGGAAAGATCAGAGGATCTAATCTTTGACTTGAACGACACGGTTCATGTTGTATAAATTCCTTGGTGAATTCACTGCAGCACAACCCTGAAAGCCATCCTCTCTTCAGTGCACACACAGTCAGCCACACACGCACACACACACTCACACACAATCACAGAGCAGTGGAGAGAGAACAAAAGGGTGGTGCATCTTGTAACATCCAACACAATACTGATGCTGAAAACAGGAGTCTATTGAACATCTGTCAGAGAGGGGTCTGATCGCTGTCCAAGGTGCTGAAACTTGCACACCTCTCTTTTCCTGTCTCTGTTTCTCTCTTTCGAGTTGCTGAATTAATCCACTGAACTCCCTCCAAATGTTCCTCTAATCCTTCAGAGATCCCTGTTTCCTCTGAACAGCAGGAGAGGGCAAACAGGCAGGTGTTGGGATGGTGACCCTTTATATAGCACTAGTGGGTTGGCAATTATAATAAAGGTATAATAAATGAGACCCCCACCTCCATACATTTAGAGATCAATACAAGCTTAGTCAATTAGAACCTACTGACTTCTCGCCATTATTGGTTTGTGAGTCAAATGAACCATCAAGTGAAAACACATGAGGAATCACTACAATTACACGCACAGGGATGTGCAGGCAATTGCTTTTTTCCTTTTTGTGGCTCTCATGAATAATTAATATTTTAACTATTCATATTTAAGATAAGAAAATCCTGAAAGCTGGAAAATACTCGAAAGGATATAGCTGCGATGTTATGTTATTGACCATCAATAACAGGAACGTGAAAACACAATTCCAAATACAGTTGTTACTATAAAATGTGTGAGCCGTTATATGCTCACATGCTGTATACCAAATGCGTATAACAAGTTCAAACTGCTGAAAGGACTCACATTAGGACATTATTTTTGTAAATAATCCCTTTTTTAAAAACCTTGGCTTGTTTTTTTCCTTTTTACAGTGCTGCATTCATGATTTCTCCTTAATTTGAAGAATATCAGTCCAGTGATCATCTTTGGATAAAAGACGCAGCGTATCTCCGGTAACCCCCGATCCAAGAGGGCTCTCCCAAACTTTTTTCCACTAATTACCTCTCATCAAGTTGTCTATCCAAAATAAATCAATGCAAACCACAACGAACGATTACACTTCCCAAAATCCAGCCTAAAACAAAGAAAATTGTCCTACCTCTGAATGTAACTTTAGCGATCCTGTCACCTTTCCCCCGAAGGTGCGCGGCCGTCTTCAGGTGGACCATGAGAGCCATCATTAGTCCTCTCTGCTCAGGGAGTGATTTTACTCCACACGGATAAAACTTGAACCGTTTTGGTGCAATCTGTGTTAAATTATCTTTAGTTTAGCCGCCCCTTGCGTCTGGACACAACACTCGTTTTCCACACGGGCATCATGTATAGTCTAATAATTTGTGTTTGTTTTTTTTAACAAACGGAAACTAAAAACTGTGATTTAATGATATGCTCCGGTTAACATCTCCTCTCGCTGCGTGGCTGCTGGGTCTGTCGCGCATCTCCGGGCTGGCACTTGGTTGTACTCTGCTCCTCGTGCAGGAAGGGCGGGGGGTGTGCTCCAGCCTCAGTGTGGGGATGATGCTCTAATTGTGAGAAATCTGCCCAGCTCTGGGATTTGAGGGGAAATTCTCTGCTCTTATAGTGCTGCAGACTATTCGCTGCAGACTGCCTGTCCATTTAAAATCACAAATATGTGATATAGCCTACATACATATTTGCCACCTTATAGGTAAATGTTGTCTGTACTAGGTTACTAAATAAAGACTTTGGATGGTAATGGCCATGGACTTCTTAGATATTGCTCTAATTACATACAATATTATTATTTGATTAATTCAGGCTTTTAAAACGTACTGTATTGTAGGGTTACATCTTATTGTTTTGGGCAGGAGATTAGTAAAATGCAGTTGCCAGGCAACATTGTTCCCCCTTTACAATGGATAAATCGATGTCAGGGGTCAAATGAGCTTTGCCAGTTTTTCCCTAATGCTTGGCAGTGGTTATTTTCTTCTCAACAGAAACCACATTGTTCCTGTTTGCTGTAATGCATCTGTGACAGGAAATACCAGCAGGTAGACAGCTGTGCCAGGAGTCTTCAAACCAGAGTCAGGTACACGTATGGGTTGTGAGGGGATTCTCCAGAAGAAACATTTGAAATAATTCACTCACCAGATGTTACAATGAAAAATGTCAAAGAATCTATAGGTGCACTGTTGCATGGGCATTTTCAGTTTTCTTGTGAGGGAGTACACAACATAAAGTGTTTGAGAACACCTGGCTTATAGCCCTTTTTGAAACATGCAACATGCTCAATTTAAGAATATATTTTATGCAAGTCTGCAAAAATCAAATTATGCACAGACTGGAGCACAACATAATTTTACAATTCAGCAGCCAAAACAAAAATCTAGTTTAGAACCCATACACAAACACAAGCAGAAGATGAGGACATTTGCAATTTATCTCAAAGTAAAAGAAAATAATAATACAAGATTTAAAGCAGACAGCTGCTTATTAAAAGCTATAAAAAAAGCTGTTGATTTATTGGTTAAAACTATCCACTAAGTCAACAATTCTTAAATTGCATTTGCTATTTTTTGGAAACAGTGGCTGAAAGAAGCATCCCCAAAGATTCAAGAGAGCCGCCAGAGGATCCTTATGTTTGTGGAAGACAATAAAACAAATTGCAGTCTGTGATATAAAAGATGAACAAGTCAGTTTAGTACATGTATAGCTAAGAGAACGACTTCAAGGACATCAATTTAATAATACAAATCTGTAATATCATATGTCACTCCATAACATAAAACAAGTAACAAAATAAACTGTGCTTGGAGTCTGTTCAGAAATGTCACCGTCAGTTCTAACTGATGACAGCAGGAGCCCCTCTGACAGCACAGCGATGTTTCCCAGCAGGCACAGGGGCTCTTTAGGCTGTCAGCGCTGCTTATTGATCCTGCCAAAATATGTTGCCTGTCAGATAGGAATCAAATCATTTACTCACACGAAAATACATCATACTTTGTGACAATGGAGGGCAGGCTTGACACTTTGACATGTATATTCAGCGCTTGAGTTACCTTGTTATTCTTCCTTCATTGATATAAAAGGGGTTGACAAAAAAAATGACATTGTTACACAAGCACAACAAACTACATCCCCAAAGAAAGACAATTATAGCCTCCATAAAAATAGGATTCATAGCAGGATTGTTCTATTACACTGCATTCATTGTATCAAATAAACTGGCAACTAAGTTAACCACCTAAGGAGCGTGAAGGACCAGTTTCCTCTCAGTGCTTGTTGTTTCTGTTTACTGAACCACCCTATTTTTAGTTGTCATCTAAGACAGCTAATTAGATGGTTTTTCCTCCTCTCTCCCAACTCCCCCAGATAAGTAATGAAACATCCAAAGAAAGTGGTAGGATATAATAATTATTTCAGATAGTCATCATAGCACCAACAGTTGAAGAGACTATATGTTGAAGTTACACAGTATAACTTGTGTCTATAACATGGTTAGATGTTTACCACCGCAAGAGCTGAGTGTCTAACACTTCAAATGACACAAGAAAATGGAGTTAAGCTGATGACAGAACTGGAACACAACGCTCATATAAACTCAGCTGGACATGCAGTCCAACCTGATCCACTGTATCAGCAGTGATGTTCCATTTCATCACAAGCATCCTGTCACCATACTCTGTGAACTATAGCAGGACTTGACATAAACACCCTCTGGCATGCGCATGAGAGAGAAAACTTGTACTTGTACCGAGCTCGCTGAAGCGTGGCCTTAGGCGCAATACAGTGTGTGTGTGTGTGTGTGTGTGTGTGTGTGTGTGTGTGTGTGTGTGTGTGTGTGTGTGTGTGTGTGTGTGTGTGTGTGTGTGTGTGTGTGTGTGTGTGTGTGTGTGTGTGTGGTGTGTTTTGTGCGAATGAGTGGTTTTCACTTTTGCAGGGTGGATATGAAAGAGACAAGTGTCTGCTTTGCTTTGGTAAGTTTTTTTTTGTTAAAAATTGAATTCCCTTTTGTGCTGACTCATTTAAGATGCTGCAGTAGTGTGTGTGTGTGTGTGTGTGTGTGTGTGTGTGTGTGTGTGTGTGTGTGTGTGTGTGTGTGTGTGTGGTGTGTGTGTGTGTGTGTGTGTGTGTGTGTGTGTGTGTGTGTGTGTGTGTGTGTGTGTGTGTGTGTGTGTGTGTGTGTGTGTGTGTGTGTGTGTGTGTGTAAGAGAGAGAGATTAAAAAGAGAGACTCAATCATCACTAGTAATGAGTTTATAAGGATTTGAGGGCAGAGAGAACATAAAAAAACAAACAACAATTACTTTACGGCCCCTGTGGGCAGCGGAGATGATCACTGGAAGATATTGATTTTGTGGCTATTACGGCCCCCTATTTCTCAGTAACAAATAAAGAATAACAATATCTCATGTGACTTCTTCAAATCTTGCTTTAGAGCTTGTCGTGACTTAATTAGTGTACAAGTCATGGTGAAATATTTTTCCCAGTGTAGATAGAGGCTCTCGCCAACAGAGGGAGATGTTGGTCATTCATAGATAAGTGGATAAACCCTCTTTTGTAAATTGATGTTGCTTGGTGAGCCCATACAGGATCAAACATGGCCAGATAAAGTACTTAATGAGAAAGACAAACATTAGCATATTCCTTCTAAATATTTGGAATTGTCAGCAAATTCTGAGAGTGTTTGTGAGTTTGTGAATTGTGAGTTTAGTGTCACAGTAACCATTGAAAAAAGATAGAAAGCAACCATGTCCTTTAGATGTTTTAATCTTAACTCCTACAGCATTTAATTGACAATATTTACAAAAATAAATTGGATACAAAACCATGTACCTACATTGTTTTGTATCCAGTTTATAGGAAAGAGAACCTCAAATTCATTATGCACAAGTGTGAATTGTTCGTTCTCTACTTTATTTGAGTACGATATCATACAAAAACAGGCAGGTTAGTTAAATTGACTATAATAGGCATATACTCTTTACACGCATCTACACACTTCTGTCTTTACTGCTACTGTAAACACCATTTATAATTACAATCTTACCTCTTACCTTTGAACACAGCTAGACTATAGTTTAAAATGTGACGTATTGCTCCATCTAGTGGTTAACCGACTTCTTTAGAAACTTAATGTAATTACTAATTATATAAGCAGATGAGACCATTTTTCGAAGTTTTGAAAACAACCACACACAATCTGACACATTAAACTAAACCAGGAGGAGAATGTGTGTTTTGGGCTTAAAGGTGAAAAGAGCATTTATGGACAACATGTTAAAGAACCCATATCTGAATTATTCTGGTTCTGGTATTAGCCTACACCCCGCAGTCATTTTATTTCTCCCTCCACCTGCTACCAGACCTTTAGGGTGAAATCAGTGGTGTTCCCTGAAGGGGGAGACATTTTGTCAATGTTGGACTATCACTTGATCCAAAAAACAGAGACACAATGCAACAGTCTGCAGGCATATGAAAAAAATGTTTCCTATAGGAATTTAAAAATGAAATTAATTTTACTAAATGAAAACTATAAGAACATAAGTCTTCATTCACAGAGACAGCACTCTGCCTCACAGTTTACATTACAGTTAAAGCCCACTTCACAATGTAATCAGTTATTTCAAATCAGAATCGCCTGCAGAGGTTGATCTTTGATATTTATTATAGTGTTTAAAACTTTGTTGCTGACATAAGAAGCTGAGAGTTCAGGCAGCAGTCCCATCGGGAGAGGGGAGGGGGGGGGCTGGAGTGTCCCAGCCCTCTGCATCCAGCTGCTGCGCCGCTCCGCAGCTCAGCGCCACACTCACTATGGCTTTAGCCGCAAGCAGGACCCTCTTGGCGCTATTCGTTACGTTTTGCGCACCTGGATGCGGATGGTCAGGTAAAAGATTTGTTCACTTAATATTTTTGAACAGGTGCACGTTTTGCACTCGTGTGTAATTCAGTTTGATAATTGCTCGGACACTGTTGCTTTCTCCTCTTGTGGTTTATGGATCAAATGTGATTGAAAGTTGTTGCAGGTTATTGATGGAAGCTGCACGTTTTGCAGCGTTAACAGGTAGTTTCTACTCATTAATTTGGATGTTGTTATTTTTTAATGGAAAGAAAAAATATATAATGTCTAAGTGCGCGCGTGCATGTGTGCGCGAAGCCTTTAAGATTTCCACAGCTGTTGCAGATGACATTTTTGTGAAAGTTGACATAAAAATGAGATAAATTATAGCCATTTATTATGCATTAGACTATTTCATTTAGAGTGTAAAGTTCGATTTACAATGTGCAAAAAGTGTTAACAGTTACAGCAAATACAGAAGACAGGCTATATTGAATGTAGTTACTTTATGGGGGGAACATATGATGCTATAGTAGCAGTCATGGAAATATTCCTTAACTCAAACACTAGGCAGATGCAGGAGAAGCTGATAAACTGTCAGAATATAAATATTTCTGCACCTTTGTGCTTTCTGCTGAGGGGTATCATGCCAAATGGGTGACTAATCTGGCTGAGGGTGGTGATAAATAACCAGCCTGTGAAACTCAGTTTCATGGGAGAAAAGAAGTGGGTGCTTACATTTTTTTCCCCCTCACACTTTGATGCATGCTTTAAATGTCATATCAATCATGAGTTATTAGACAGGAATGGGTGAAATACCCCTGATAGGATAAAGATGAAAAGGGACTCCAAATGCTTTGTACCCTCAAGAAAATTGTAATTTAATATATTTGATTTTTTTAAATGCATGGTGATATATCAAATAACTCACATCTTTGACACAGACTGCAGCACACATGTTTTAAAAGTTGTTAAGGTTCTGTTTGTAAAATCAATTTGGAGGGAAGGAAGCCCAACCTCCAGACAGCGAAAATATCTAAAATATCAAAAGTGCCATAAAGCCTGGCGACAGTAAGCTGACCCTTTGGCTTCAGTTTGAAGGCCACGTTACAGTCAGCCTTTTTCTTCTCCCTTTTTCTCAAACATACTCAGTCTACTTATATTGTCAGTTGATCTGCCTCCTTCCTTCTCAACTGTGAGCACTTAGTGCATGACGTCATTGCTTTCTCTGAATTTACGCAGCTGCTGTTTGTTATGTTTTTTTGAGTCGTTTTCTTTTCCATCTTGTAGGAAGAATTTTCTGACCATTTTCCCTGCAACACCCTGCTTCACACATTCACTTATACATACATTCACACCTGGGAGCTACTTAACACAACCACAGTTGACTACTGCGGGCCACTGAGCAGCTCCACTGGCATTTTGACAGCAGTGTTTATGGGAGAGGAGAGTGTTACTCATTAACTTTCTCCACTCACATGTCATCAGCTTGTCAGTCAAGAATGTTTCAGAAAAGTGGAAGAAATTGGGCTCTCAGGAATATCTGGACACCTTGACAAGAGCAGCGCAAAAAGAGAACAGAATCATAGAGTATTTAGATAATAGATAATGTCACCTTCTTCCATACAGCAACAGTCCATCAACTCCTGGAAAGAGTGTAGAGTGTTAATGGGACAGAGGGTGAGGGGAAAGAGGGAATCATGTCTTTGCAGGCCAGTGGAATTTAATTTCTCTGCTCCACTTAACATGCTGGAATTCAGCAGAAGCACCCGAGACAGATCTCGAAGAAAACGTTCTCAATTAGGAATGTCATAACTCTGCATCTGGAAAATATGACACTCATAGAGCCATTGCAGATCGAATATTTCAAATATTTTCCACAACACTCTGTATTTGGTCACCTGTGACCTGGTATAGCTTGACCCAGTCTCCCCACCCACCTGCCAGTTGGCTGCCTGTCAAACCTGCCCGCGAGGGCATGTCTCGTGTCATGATGTCATCTCTAGGCGCCATGCCAGATGTTTAAACAAGTACCACCTGGGCCATGAGCACACCTGTCACAGCACACTTCATGTCAGCATACTAAGTGGGTTAATGGAAGAAATAGCCTAAACTAACATTGTAAAGATGTCAGTCTTCATCAGTGAAGAGACATTGAATACCTATTTGGAATTGCAAAATATGTATTTTCATTAGGATTGTACTAGCTGGCTTTTATTGGTAAATGTCAAATGTCATACAATATTAATATGAATGCATATAGCCCTCCCAAGTTAAACAATTACTCACTCACAGGTTGTTGCTTTAAATTAAAGTTGTTCGCAGTCACATTTCCCTTTTAAATTAGGCTTAAATCATCATTTAAAAAATGACAGCATTTAGCATCACAGTTTAGTGATTTATGTGCAAGCGTGCCTATAGGCATGATCTCAGTCTGGTGTGTTGGATTTATGACAAAGTTGATTGCTGGGAAGAGTTTACTGAAGGTCAAAGGTCAGAGGACTTAAAGGCTAACAGACGTGCGAACAGTGTTTGTAGCCCCTGGCCAGATCTGACTCATCTAAAGGACATTGGTGATGTTGATCTTCTCTAACTATTTGCAAAGAAAGAAAGTACAAAAGTGTAGAAAATGTCAGACTATAACTTTAGAAGGTTGGTTTATTCAAATTAACAGGAAAAACACCTTTTATCACTTAGGTGAACTAACACGCAGCATCTCTCAACGGCAACATATCTGTTTTAGAATAATTCCCAGTCAATCTTGATAATCCAAAGAACATGTTAACATTGGACATATTTTTTACAAAGTATTTCCACTGTTGATAGTTAGGTCTCTGAATTGTCCAGTCCCTTTTTACTGCAATGCCATAAACATATATAATTAAGTAGTAGCCTTTCCATTACATGCCTCCAGGTCCTACAGTTATTTGAGATAAAACCAGTTTTTGATGCCAATAGAGCAAATTATAAAGATCTAGACATGTACTTTTGTATATCACTTCAGTCTTATTCTTAAAAATGTGCTTAGCTCGAAACTGAACCACTACCTTGTTAACCTCCACACATACCATCTTACACACACACACACACACACCTTCGACGGTGATCCTGTGTTGATGGGAGTTTGTGGAAGAGGACAGTTATTAGGGGTTAATGGCAAACTCATTGGGGGTGAGCGGGGGGTCAACGTCTGTGGAGCACATTGCAGGTGCATGAGTGCAAGTATTTTCTGGAACAGTTTTACAGGAGTCCTTTGACCCCAGGGCTTACCTGCATATGCTTCTTGTACCAAACTACACATGCACATACACGTGTGTCTGTCTGACTCTCACTCTTTCATACACACACACACACACACACACATATATTTTTTTATAAAGAAACTGACATTATCACCCTCAGGCCTTGCCCTCATTCTTCACATACTTATTCCTTTCCACTGTCTAATCCAATCACACTCTTGTCTGTCTGTCTGTTAAATGTTATATTATTGCCCTGGTGTCCCATGGAGACGCCCTGAAACAAAGCCTACCTCTGATGTTACAACCACTCAGTTGCTTAACTGCTTCCCAAACTGTTTATTCTTGGATGGAAATCATGCATCTGCTCAGCTTGAAGGTCTGAGTCTTGATGTAATCAGAAATATCTGGTTTGCCCTTGGATCACACGTTTCCAAAGAGGGCCAAATCCCAGAATGATGTCTGGACAGAGGAGCAGATCGCTTCCTACGTAATACATGGCCTCATTGGAAACAGGGAAGGAGGGATAGAAGTGTGTCCAGACTTGTGTCAGCCACGAACAGACGATAAAATTGACCTCACTGTAACCCTGCATAAATGAGGATAAAATGAGTAAGCATTGTATGTTGTTTTGGAAGAACACTCTCAAACTCATTCATAAACTCTGGTTTAAATCAGTAGTGACAGTGAGGAGCCAACCATTTAGCAGATACTAAACAACATTGTGGGCCACAGAAGAGTTGCGACCATCTGTAAACGACCGCACACGAGGCCTTAGCGGCAAGTTTTTATGAATGTGAGAAATGAAATTGCAGATCCAGCTGGGCGCACACCTGCAGACAACAAGAACTCAGAGCAATGAGGTGATTTTGAGAAGATGCTAAACCAAAACGTCTGCTGTTAACCTTTGGGGAGCGCTGACAGCCCTAAGGAGCAGCTGTTTATGATGTTTTTGACAACACTCACAATTATGTGACAGGGGTGAATAATGAGCATGCAAACAAACCCTACTCTTGTCTTTCTCAAGAAGATCCTCGACATTTAGCCAAGGCTTGAATCGTTTTTTTTGTATCCCCTCAAATCTTTGAAGCATTTCAGCAACTTTTAGTTCTTTCTTTGCCAAGTGCAAAATGTAAGACACCCTTCAGGAGTCAGTGGAGACCAAAAATGGGGTCGAATTAGACTTGCAAAGACAGCACTCCAAATTATTATGGACTGTAACTTGTAATGTAATTGAAGCACACTATTAATTCAAGTTGGTAATAGCTGTTTCATATTTGTCTTTGTGTCATTTGGTCATTTGCCGCTGTGTTGCAAGTAACCAAGTATCCAATTGAACTTGTGCTGGTAAAACACATTCAAATCTGTGACTTAATCATTGTGGTGTTAATATGGTGTTAATATCACCACTGATTTAGCTAAGATTAATAATTCATGTATGTTCTAAAAATGGTCCCCTGTTTGAGGAACAGAATGACTTGCACATGGATTGATTTTAGGTTTTCTGTATAGTTCATTGGGTCAGAGTTGTAAACTATTAAGTGCTTTTCTTACTATGCATCACATTTTTCCATATGTCCCGAAACAGATGTAGAGTCAGCTGAGGTTTCCACATCCATTCAAGCTCTCAGGCACAAGGCCATTATTTTTGCGTACGAATCAGCTATTTGTAATTTCTCAAATGGTTGTTTGTTGTAATATTTCCTTGTATGGATTTCCTTTTGTGGCATTTTTTCTTCTTGCATAGAAGCTGATTTCATCATTTATCCTGTTTACATTTTCATTGGGGATAAAATCTATATTTTGCGAAAGTAGTTCTCTTCATGGTTACTTTACTTCATGATCTGGGTGTACTGATGGTCTGTTGAATATTTTCGCTGTTGCTTTAGCATGCAAACCAAAAGAAGAGAAACAAGTTTTGGTCCAAAACACAGCAGTGGTAACTATTTTCTTTGTTTTGTGTACAGTACATCGAGCCAAGAGGGAGACTGAACATTGCTTATTGTCCTGAGCCTTGAGCCATCCAAACAAATCCTCACTCATTTATTGAACCATCAAATGAGTTTGTATTTTTCAGGGCTGCCTTACACGTATGCTTCATCTGAATCAGAGTTACTTTGAATGCCAAGTATAATAAATCCAGGGGGAATTGTTGAGGTGGCCCTGCAGAAAATGTTTATTAACAGCTTAAACAGTAGACTAACATTTATGTCATAATGTGTAGGGGCAGGAAGCCTTTACGACAGGAGAAATAAACTTTAAATACACTTTCAAAATAAATGTTTTACAGACACAATTTATCCTGACGTCATTTGTTTTGCAGCAGAGAAGCCCCTGCGGTCACAGAATGGGAAACAGACATCTTTGGATAAGAGCCTGAGGGAGCGCTGGGAGCCGTCTATTCATCTCGATGGAAGACCTGTGGACCGCTTCGTCATCAGCTCCAACAAACCCACGAGGTCTCATCGCTTCGCTAAAATGGGAAAGGACAGTAGCCCTCGTCTAATGGAGGATGTAGGTAAGGCAGAAACACAGAGACAGTTAGAAAAGGAGAGTGTGCGAGCAAGATGTTTGGAAAGAGGGACTTAAAATAATCACAAGTGGACGTTCCTGAGGGACCTGGGGAGTGGTGGCAGTACTGCTCGACAAAAAGTCATTAAGAGGAAAATAAATGGACAGAAAGCAGGAACAAGACATTTGGCTTAAACTATGGAGAGAGCTTTCAGATCACGGAGTTCTGCACTTTGTCAAAACAAGTGCCAAGAACGAAGAGGGGGAATATAGATCTGGGTATGAAGCAGAGAGGACATGCAGGGGGTGAAGTGTTGGCACACGTGTGCATGTACAATTCAATATTGGATGTGTTGTCATCCAAGATTGCCAAAAAGAGCACTGTGGGCGTATTGTCCCCTGCCTCGCTTTTACACAGAGATTATTTTAGGCTTTAGAAAGACTTTATTTTTAATATCGCTTTTTAATTCCTAATTCCTCCTTGTTAAACGGCAGGTTTTTATATTTCTATATTCTGCAGTGTTGACACAGTCTAGCCTGTTTTTGTCATTATTCCATTTTTTTTCTCTGTCCCTGGCTTCTAAGAGCCATACTTCATCAGCGGCTCAGAGTCTGCAGCCAACCCTTCTTTTCCACATCCAAACCCAGCTCCACTCCTATAACCCGATGCCTTGTGTTGTGGTCACTTGCTGTGTGTGTGTGTGTGTGTGTGTGTGTGTGTGTGTGTGTGTGTGTGTGTGTGTGTGTGTGTGTGTGTGTGTGTGTGTGTGTGTGTGTGTGTGTGTGTGTGTGTGTGTGTGTGTGTGTGTGTGTGTGTGTGTGTGTGTGTGTGTGTGTGTGTGTGTGTGTGTGTGTGTGTGTGTGTGTGTGTGTGTGTGTGTGTGTGTGTGTGTGTTGTGCAACATAAGTGTGTTTGGTGGTGAGTGTGGTTGGGTAAAGTGTGGTGCCAAGTGTTGAGTCATGCATTGTCTTGTATAGTGTGTCAAATATGCATCTATATCATCCTTTGTGTTTATATGGGTGTGTGTGCCGCCTCGTGCGCGCTGTTGCGGTCTCTCCAGCTCCGGTGCAGTCTGCCATGGGTCTCTGGCAACCGAGGAGCACGTCTCAGTGTTGCTTTTCCAGAAATTCCTTGCAGATCGTGTGTTCTTCCCTCAGCAGCATGAGAGCAGCATCAGTCATCATAAATAACACCGTGCTGTTTGCCTCCACATCATTAATGTGTCTGGCCAACCGCTGTTAGAACAACACAAACAGAAAGATGACTTATCAGTAAGGACAGTTTGGGAGGTGGAGACATAAAGAAAAAAACTTTTTTCCTCACTGACAAGAGGAGAAAGTAGATTACACAAATGTAAAAGCTGACCATAAAAAGTAAAACAACATTTCGAATTGAACTTGTGTTCAACAGGTAAAAATGATTCAGTAAATCTGATTTTCTTCTTTAACTTATTTACGTTACTTCACGTTTCTTTTCTCAACATCATTCAATCATTTTTGTTTTATTTTTTAGATCCCGAATGGGTTAACCTGGATGGCTTTGCTGTGTTGGGCGTTGCACCGGTCAGAAACTCATCAGCAGGTAAACCTTATTTAATGTCATCTTAACCAACAACACATGACTCTCAGTAAAAGTCGCACATTTAAAACTGTGTGGTTAAATCCATTAAAAGGGGTTTGCTTAAATCTGCTGCTGTCATCGTGGATATAAAAGGAACCGCCAAATCTAATGTGACGATGAGTCACAGTGCTGTGTTCGTAAGGCTCACTTATTCTGTCCCGTACAAGTTAAATGGGGGAAAGTACTTCCTGGTCTCTGACTCATAGATTCCCATCTATTCGGCTAGGTGTGTTTTTCTGTCAAGTGATCCAAATGTAACATTTCTTTTTAAAGTTGTGTCACCTTAAAGGTAGGGTAGGTAAGTTTGAGAAACCGGCTCGAGATACACTTTTTGTTATATTCCATGGAATGCTCTTAACATCCCGATAGCAATGAATATCTTAAGTCAGGGGTGTCAAACTCAATTTCATCACGGGCCACATCAGCATTATGGTTGCACTCAAAGGGCCGGTTGTAACTTTAAGACTATATCATTAATTAATATAACTTCATAATTAGCTACGTCTGAAAGCAGAAGTCTAGAGCAAATCATTGCAAGTCTCTTCAGTAAGAATGTCACAATATGATTTTAAAAGAAAAGCCACATTCTGGAAAAACATTGATTGTGACATTTTGAAAAAGAGAAGTGACATTTTGAAAAAAAAATCTATTTATGAGAAAAAGGCTAATTATAAGAATAAAGGCATATTTGGACAAAAAAAAGTCAAATTCCGAGAAAAAGTCAAATTTGAGATGCATTGTGGGACATGTCATTTATGGGCAACGTGCTTCTGTAAAGTAGCATGTAACCGTATAATAAACATATTATATTCTTTGCAAGCTCTTGTGGGGCCACATAAAATGAAGTCGCGGGCCGGATTTGGCCCCCGGGCCTTGAGTTTGACACCCCTGTTTTAAGTGCTTTGACAAAAAATCCCCAAAAAAATGTAATTTGTGGAAGCCGTATTACTGTAAAAAGCACGACCAATCATTTTAGCCGGCCCGGCTAAAATAACTGGATGGCCTACCTGCCTGTCAGCCTTCCATCTGTGCACAAACTTATCTCGTGCCCTCATTGGTCATGTGTGCGTTCGTGTGTGTTGGAGGAGGGGCTCTGTAAGGAAGTGGCAGATTTTTTCCGGTTGTGTATTTTCAAATTCTAGCGCACTTGAGCTGATTTCTCCAAAATTACCTACCCCACCTTTAACTAATGAATGTCACTTTAATGATCACATAATTGCATGAAGAGTAACTGTGTTGACATTGTTATCAATGCACAGTCAAGCGATTCAACATTTTCTTAAATTTGTTTTGACAAAAAACTGTAATTTCTCATTAAGAACTGCTACACACTCTTTCTCAATTCCCAAAGGTGTGCTCTTTGATTGTTTTTCCAATGTTATCTCAGTGTTAATATAATACCTTCGGACATGACCTATTATCTGGACAGTACATAATGTAGGGCTCTCTGAACTCATGATGTTATTTTTTATGATTTTTTGATAGAATTCATTAAATAATAGAAGAAAGATATCCATTAGACGTTTTTGCAGCTCTAATATTGATTCAACGTTGTTCAAGCTCTTCAGAAATAAAAGGTTATTCTTGTTTAAGTGAGGCGCACTTAAGGAATCTTACTATTACACTACATTTTCTGTAATATTTTCTTTTGTATTTATTTCTGTGCGTTCCTGGGGCATCTGGACATTAAAGCAGGCGTCATGTAAACACTCATGAGCCAACCCTAGGGCAAACACAAATAGATATTCGCGTTCAAACTGTTCCACATGGACAATTTGGTATTTCCAAACCACTTGACTTGGCATATAATAATGCCGCGGTGAGGAACAGGAAGAAAACCCATTGAGATTCCAGACTGAAAAGATCAGGACCAGCAATTGAACCGAGGACCTTCTTGCTGTGAGGCGACACAGCTAACCACCGAACCACCGTGCTGCTCTGGAGTTTCAGTTCTATTTGTTTAAAGCAGAGCTGCTTCGGAGACACAGCTAATCATATTTGTTGAGTTTAACCTCAGTGAATGGAGCTAAAGACCCACTGTGTTTCTGGCAAAGTAATCCTAGCGAAGCGGAAGGGGTGAATCAAGATGGTAAAAAGCCTGCTAGCACACTTCATACGTTTTGTAATAGCTAAAGTTATCTAGCTAGCTACCGGCTAATTTTCATGATCCTAGGTAATATTACAAGTCTTATACTAACTGAAAGACTAGTAAGATAATGAATAACTGCAAATGAATACACTGGCATTGTTTTCATAGTTTTTGTTGTTATTGTTTCACATGTTGTCTGTTGAGGCAGTCATAATGCTATAAACGTAGCTTTATCGGTTTATTCTTTTGGTTACTAGTGGTATTATATGTATATGTATTCAACTCTGACTTTGAATTGATCTTCAAGACCAGCGCTTTTGCATATCCTTTTTACTTCTAAAAGTCAGACTGGACAATATGGCAAAAACTTTATTCCGGGCATTTTGTATTAAGCCATTATATGCAGTAAACATGTAATACATGTCTGTCTCCATTATTTGTTTAAATGAGCAACACATTACAACATATGACAATATTTTAACAATCCGTTTATCAGCCAAAAATGCTGAACATTGACAGCTGTTATAAAGCTACCAAACCAAATGCCAACTCAGAAATGTTATCAAACGTTAGCAGACGTTATCTTTAAGGTTAGCTTATAAACCCAGTTTACAAATCAAGTTGTTTAAACAGTACTGTACATTCATGAAAGAAGGCAAATGATAAATGACGCCACTGAGCATACTGTAAGTGATGTATATTGATATAGAGTTCTTGCCACTGTCTTTGTTAGTTGGGACTAATTGAGTATTTCTGCCTCCAGGAAAGTTCTGCCACATTGTTTGTATAAATTAAACTGTGGCTAAACTGAGAAATGTAAGCAATCCTAACCATTTATGTTTGCAAAGTTTAGACTTGCCTGTGAAGTTGGGTAAATGTCACAGACGGTGGAAAAAACGTTGCTTTATACAGTTTCTGTCGAGGGATTGAGTCAGCACTCAACAGTATCATTCTTCAGTATCAGTCTGAACACACTGAGGAGGGTCTCCGCTCTATCAGTGGTATGTCTGTCTGCCTCACAGCACCTTGGACCATCCAGATTCCAGGAAAAGACAGAAAGGATTTGGCAAATGAGAGTACTGAGGCAATGGTTTAGTGGTCCGCGGCGTGATGACCCGGGCCAAAATATGCACATGTGACAGCTTTCCAGAGAGAGAAAAGAGGAAGGGAAAGGAGATTTAGGCTGATTGAAACCAAATGTTTTATTTATTTTTTGTCAACTTATACGAGAGAAGCTTGTATATATAAGACAGAATTGTCCCATATTATTGTTATGGTTATTGTTAACACAGTGATGCCTCAAAAGCATCTAAGTGGTAGGACAGTGATAGCTTTGATGATTGATGAAAGAAAAGAAAAAAAATGTAAGCTTGTGATTTGTAGCGAATGAGATAAAACAGGCAACCACACTGGTGTAATCATGATGAGTTTATGTTTAACTGGCTCCTGTCTCAGTTCATTTTCTTGAAATGACACAGAGCAGATTATCCACTTGTGCAGGTGCGGGATAAGGTTGGAGAGGAGTATTTGAAGACAGAAAAGCAACATCAAAGAGAGAGAGAGATGTGTTGCGGTATTAAACAGAAAATGTAAGGAGGAGAGATCTTCTCAGCTGTGCTGGCAGCAGGACACAGTGAGGATTTAGCGAGACACTTTGAGACACTAATGGAGCACTCCAACAAACAGCCTTTCTTGTGTGCTTTTGTACTCCCCTTCACATCCTCTCTGTCTCATTTGTGTTACCTCACATATACAAAGTGTCACAGAAGAAGCCCACCAGCAGTAAACTCTCTTTTCAAACCCTTTTGCTAAAGAAAACTTTTTGGGCGTGGTGGCCTCTCTTGGAAAATGATTCACAGTTGGCAAACGTACTGTTAGTTGAAAGGGGATATCATTCATCATATCATTATATTGTCCTTATAACCACTTTGAATTTCATCAAATACACTTTCCAACATCAGATGACTTGTCAGTACGCACACAGCTGTGCATGCAGCTATGCTGATGGGAATCAGGGCTGATACTTCTTCATCTGACAGTAATTATGAGTAACGGATGAAGGAGGTATAGAGGGAGGAGGGGAGAGAGAGAAGAGTATTTTAGTTTTGTAGCCAATGCTATCGCTCAGCACCGCAGCCAGATGAGGGGGAATGTCTGGCTGTCTGAGTCCATGTCTGAGTCGTTTTTCAAGATGGAGTTACAACTAGGGTGGGATTGAAAGCAGGAAGCAGGACTTCAGGAGTTGGAGCAGATGACATGTTGAGGACGTGGTGCGGTTCCATGGCATGTCCTGTTTGTGACAAGTGGCCATGTTAAGTGACAGTGTTGGATACAAGTGACATGTAATTATGTGTTTATCACTTAGTGGTCGTGTCTTGAGTGTAGCAATTAAGTACAATGATTTTTCGTGGCGGTTAGTTTCAACAAGGCCTAAAAGCCATATCAAGAGCAGATTATGAATGAAGTATTGGGTCATAAAGGTTCTTCGGTGCACTCGAACTTTTCCCTACCTTTTCGTCCACCAACAGGTCCGGTCAGGTCTCGGCAAACCGCTGCCAGAAAAACATCCTCGGTACAGCGGCCCACCATGGTGAACAGAACAGCCCACTCATCAGGCGTTTCCAATGCCAGGACACACAGGAGGGCCCCTCAGTCCTCCTCAGGGTCCAGGCAGCCTGAGAGGGCGTTGGGAAGAGCCCCCCCGCTGGGAAGGAGACGCCAACACCACACCAAGCCTCAATCTGACCAGAGAAACCGAAACAAAGCCAAACTAAGTAAGAGGACTCACATTTTACAATCACCAGATTAAAGGGGCAAAGCTTTCAGTTCAAGTACAATATGATGTTTAGAGTAATGTTAGCCATTTCTATAATGAAAATAGGCACATGTGTACATTTAGTTTGTATTATTTTAGTGTCCATAGTGTAAACCCTGGCCGTGCCTGGTATCCCTTTCTATTCATAGCCTCTGAGTCCGTTCATGTGGTGTCACTGCAGGCACAGAAACCCATGGGACGGAGCGCACCTGCCAACAGAGCAATCGCAACCAAAACAACCACACCAGGTATTATTCTTGAGAATGATCTGGTTCCTTTGCACTTTATATATATCAAAATAGCTCATCAGCGCATCTTTGGTAGACATGTTAGCCTATGAGAAACAAAAGCATCAAGGTTTTTCTCTACCTCTTTGTGTGTTTTCCAGAGCCGCCAGAGTATGAGGCCCGGGACATCGGTGTCAGGGTTATGTCCCCTCAGTCGGTCCTCATCTCATGGGTGGATCCTGCTGTGGAGATGGGGAAGGTCGGCCCAGAGGATATCAGGTAAGATCTGTGAAAGAATGTGAAATACAGACAAAGACTGAGTGAGTAAAAGAGAACACTAACCCTTTCCACTGCAATGAAACATCCATATTTTCTCTCTTAATCCAGATCCTACACAATAAAGTACAGAGAGAAGGGTGAGTCGGCACGCTGGGAGTACAAGGACAGCACCCAGAGGAGGATGCTGGTAGACACCCTGTTTGCTGACGGCATGTACGAGTTCTCTGTCAGAATCTCTCAGGGAGAGAATCATGGAAAGTGGAGTGTCTCCGTCTTTCAGAGAACCCCTGAGTCAGGTACGCACATGTTGCCGATGCCTGCTGAGAATTGCTTATTGAATATCATTGTGGTGGTAGCAATGTAGGAAAAGTGATGTGAAGTGAGTCCAGAGGAATAGCTAGAGAGAGCCAAATCCCTGCATTTTTCTAAGCATATAAAAACATAGAATTTATTCTTGCAGAGAAGAATTCAGTCTTGCATACCTCAATGTCAGTTAGCTATTTTTCTTCTTGTATCCTTATACCACACTTCATCACATTCACTGCCTATAACCCCCAATGATATTTGATTCCTGCTTTGGCTGCAGCCCTGTCATGATTGCAGCTTTTATCCCGTGTCATAGCAGCTCCTGAGCTGCGGTTCATTGGAATGTCAACATTTACTGCCTGGCCCGGAGCGCAGATATCCATCTGCAGCTACCATACATGATTTCAAGGGGAGGCTCCTCACAATGTATGGCAGCAGTGCTTCCTTCAGTTGAAACCTCTTGGCACAAACTCGCTGTTTTTACATTCTTTAAGCAGCAATTTCCTCACCCTGCTCCCTCTGCGCTGCTTCTGGTTTCTTTCCTGCTGCTGCCGCCCCCCCCCCCTCCCCTCACTGCTGTCTCTCCCATTCACTTGTTTTATTTTCTTCTCACTTACTAGCTCCATCTGGGCCACCGGAGAACTTCGAGGTCAAGCCACTTAGAGGGAAAGGAACTGCTGTCATAGCAACATGGGATCCACCTGAAGAACCCAATGGGAGGATAAGAGGTCAGGCAATGAGGAATTATTGAATCCCTGATGGCTAACAAATCAGTTTAGAAAATCCTTGGTATTTTATTTATTGTTCTGACATGAGGGTGCCCGCTTTATGAGTGCTCTCCACTGGTTGGGATATCTGGGACTGACTGTCAATGTTAGTGCTGTAATCAGATAAGAACACACACTATTCAGAAAGCAGGTCACAGGACACCTTGATGCATAATATGTATTGTACAATAATAAATAATTACTACAATGTTATAGTGGTAATAGTAATATAGTAATGTTCAAACTACCTCCCCTCAGTCTTTTTCTTAACAGTTATTCATGCTCTACCTCCACACAGAGTACATCATGTCTTATGCTCCTGCTATGAAGCCATTTGGAATGAAAAGTGTGACGTATCGTAGCAGCGCCTCCACAGCCACTGTAGATGGCCTCACACCGGGAGAACGGTACATCTTCAAGATCAGAGCCACCAACAGGAGGGGTCAGGGCCCCCAGAGCAAAGTCCTCAGCGTTGTCATGCCAGGATGTAAGCACAGTCGACTTTATACAATATGAATGTGCATGTATTCCTTAAAAATGTATTATTCCTAAACTTACAACAACTTTTGTCTACTGCCAGCCAGCAGCGGGGCCTCGGCATCCTCGAAAACCAAAGACAGCCGCAGGACTAGCCACTCTCCTTCCAAACAGGATACGGACCATGAGGAATCGGATCTCCAAACAACAGAGGCGCCAGAAGAACCAACAACAACAACAACCCCTCAGCCACGGCCTGCTGCACCTGTCAGGCGTGGACGTCCCCTCCTCTCCCAGCCTGTAAGGGGGTCTGTCAGGAACAGTGGGTCATCCAGAGGAAGAGTTCAAGATAAAGAAGAGGAGGAAGACGAAGAAGAGGAGAAAGTACCCACGACGCCTACTCCAGTAAAAGAGACGACAACCATAGAGGTTGTACCAGAGACCAAAGTCCCAGACAATGATGTTTCCCCTGAATTTGAAGAAGAATTAGTATATGATGAAGAGGTTCTAACTACAGAGACCCCCAGCCTCAAAGTTTCGACGCCCTCTCCAACTAAACCTCGTCCACATCCACAGCCCAGAAGGCCCATCAAGATCCGGGTCCATCAGAAACCAGGATCCAAGGCCGCTTCATCCTCTTCTTCTTCTTCTTCATCTCCCTCATCTTCTGGTTCCTCCTCTTCAGCATCATCCTCACCTTCTTCAACGTCATTGTCCTCATCTTCACGTATTCAAGAGTCGGCTGCCAGTAGAAAGGACTACGTGGCTTCAGCATACCCAGAGAGCAAAGGCACCTTTGATAAACCGATCCTAACACATACAAAACCATCATCTACGGTTTTGAAAGAGACACGTCCACAGCAGACAGGGGCCACATCTGTCGGTAGAGGTTCAGCTTCAGCGGGGCGCCCCAATGGGTCTGGTTTTGGCTCTAGATATGGTTTCGGTCGCAGAAATCCTGGGATTTTGTCAAGAGGAAATTCATCTCGAATGCTGAATGGTAACAAACCTGCCATCACCTCACAGATGCATTTACCAAGCAGGACTTCAAACACACGCAGTTCAGCATCACAGTCGACTTTACCAGACAGGACTCAAAACCACGGAACAACGCATACTTTAAATTCAGCCACATCCAGGTCCCCTTCAGGAAGTGGAACCCACAGCCAGGCTACATCAGACACATATCATTTGGACAAATCACAGTCATCATCATCAGGGTCCAAGCCTGAAGGCTCTGCAACTTCCCAGAGCTCAGGCAGCAATCCATCCACTTCACATGGCAGTCCAGACATCCCATCCAACACAGACAGCGCCGGCTCATCTCAGTCAACTTCCCACAGAGGATCTCACAGCCCTGCAAGTTTACCAAAAACACAGAGCTCACACACATCACCTGAGCGAGATACAACATACAACAATGGAAATGATGACGGTGATTACAAAAACACAGACGCAGAATTAACCAAAGTTGAAGAACCGTCTTCGAGCTCTAAACCGCAACCCGCAGTGGAGGTGAGACGGGAGGAGGAAAGAAAGGAGGATAGCGGTAATGGGAAACCTGTGGTTCCTCGTACCTCACTCGCTGAAAGGTTTCCCTGGATAAAGAGCCGCAGGTTTGGTCAAGGGACGAGAGCTTCATCTTCCAGGCAGGAGGGTAGACACCTCTCCACCAGGACGTCATCTTCAGTCGGGGCCGGCAGACCCGTCTCGAGGGGGGTACCCACTAGGGTTTCAGGGGCTACAGGTGCTGCCGGTGTATCAACAATACAGGAGACAAGTGCAGATCTAGGGAAGCAGGACTCCCTAAAGAACGGAGTAGGGGAAGGTTCTGTAAAGCATCCTTTGACCAATCAAAATACAGTATCTAGTGATTCTAGAAACCCAACTACCTCATCCTCTTCATCATCTTCCTCTGGGGCAGCCACTTCTTCTAACTCTGAATCCCGTCGTTCCTCAGGTGGACATAGAGACTCAAGTGAGCCCGTCCATAGGGAAACTTCAAATAGTAATGATCATAATGAGGATTATCTTGAGGAAAGGAGTAGAGAATTAAGTAGAAACAATGATAAAGTTGCAGACCCTACAGCGGCCCAAAGGAATCCTACTTTACCGTCAGCAAACAGAAACTTGGAGGACAATGAGAGTGTGGATACAAGGGAAACTTCTTCCAGGACAAGACCTAGTTTACCATCGGGAGGTGCTTCACCTTATCGCCGTCCTGGGATGGGGGGCAACGGGAGGGCCCGCTCTCCTCTGCTTGCTAACAGGCCGTTTGGTGGATCTAGGCTTCCTTCCAGAGCACAGAACTCAAGGCTCGGTTCTTCAACATCTGATGGCTCCTCAACATCATCTGATGCCGCTTCTTCCTCAAATATGCCCCAGCCAGTTTTGACCTCGGATCGTGACGTTGCCACTGGCAATACTGTGACAAAGACAGGGGGATTAATTGGAGGCAACTCCCAGTCTACATCGTCGTCCTCAGCATCTAGAGACAGCTCTAGGGGCAAGGGGGGTCGGTCTCGCTATCCCATCGTTAGAGGGAATCTACCCAATGGAGGACAAGTCAATGGAAACGGTAATGTCGATTGATATAATGCATGACTTCCTGCCACCTTTCCATATCTGAAAAGGTGCAAGGATTTGCTTGGGCAAAAAAGTAAATTATAATATGTATATGTGTTATAATCTCAGCGGTAAATCATTTAACACTTATCTTAAATTGTATTATTGTAAGGTAAAAATGGACGACCCAATCTGACAGCAACAAGTGATAAAGAGACCCCCACTTCTCATGGAACCAACAAGGCTGTTGGTCAAAGGTTTATCACAGGACCTGATGGATCCAAATGGGTAACTATGTTTCTTACATTACGAACTCATAACTTTGAAAGGCCACATGTTGACTGGATCTATTTTAAAGAGTAGTGAATAGTACAATAATTGTTCTATATAGGTTGCCGTAAAGATTAAGCAAATATTGTTGTTCCTCCAGGTGGTGGACTTGGAGCGAGGAGTTCTTATGAACAAGGAGGGACGAGTTCTCCAGGACTCACAGGGTAAACCTAAGAGAGTGGTGCTTGGAGAGGACGGAAAAACCATTTTTGGTAATATGCTTCAGTCAATATTTACATTATATTCAAACACACGGTATACAGCTTTGATATGTATACGAATATGTGCTTTAATCGTTCAAGACAAGTCATAAATATGCTGTTAACCCATCTCCTTGCTTCTCACTCCACCAGACCACCTGGGCAGCCCCCTGGTAAACCAGGAAGGCATGGCTCTGTTTGGCCACGGCCGGGACAGTCAACCTGTGGTCAACCCAAAAGATAAGATCCTCATGGTTGGAGGGAAACCTTTACTTGGCTTGGACCGTCATCACCACAGAACAACAACCACCACCAAAGCCACCACAACCAGGGCTACTACCACCACCACCACACCTGAACCCACCACCACTGAATGGATCATAGAGTCTACCACGGCACCACTTTACCCAATCTGTCCACCTGGTACCTTCTCCAAAACAGATGAGTACGGTTACCCACTGCTGGATCCAGAAGGAATATTGGACTGTTATCCAGAAGGTGAGACTGAAAGACACTAAATGAATTATAATACAATGCAGACAGCACTTTTAAAGATGGATTTAAATAAAGATTAATGCTTAAGGAATGAAAATACTGCAGTGCCTCGACTGCTTTGTAAATAGCTTTCCCACAAAACTGTAGTCAAGTTCAGAAAAGTATTTTAAAACCAGAATAGTGAACTCAAAGAATTATGACTTCAATGAATATCTCAGTTGTATTGTTTGTTAAACCCATCGAGGCCAAGAGTGTTTCCTGTCTGTTCCTTACAGAGCACTATAACTCTGTAACAGTGTGTGCTAACTGTTTGATCTGGTCAGCGTGTGTGTGTAGATGTGTGTGTGTGTCTATGTGAGACCACAGAAACCACATGTAAGTCTCCACATCTGGGGCCTGGCTGTGGTCAGAGTGCTGCTGATTTCAAACACACTACGAGCTGTCAGTTGAACGTTGCTATAAGTGTTATCGCACAAAGACAATGAATGAAGCATACACGCATTCATGACCACACAAAGCATGGCTATTATAGTTATTACAGCACATATGGTGGGGGATTTAAAAATCATTAAACTAAACCAAGTCTATAGGTTCAGAGTTGTAGATTTGCAATCAACCAAAACACTAAAAATAAACTTTGATTTTTTTATATGAAAGTATACCATAAAGACAAATATAATTGTGGGCGTAGAACTGCCGCTGTTTATTGCATTGCATGAACTTTAAGTGTATCGTAAACGTACAAATGATGGTCCATATTAGTTCGTTTTTATTATTATAAATAATAAGAAAAAGTTTGAAAAGGCTGCTTTAGCTATGTGAACATTTGGAGGAACTTATTTAATATTTAGTTGTGTGGTTCTAATGAAATCTTGCCAAGTCATAAATACATTTTTAGTGTGTGTTTCCCTACACATATTTATTTTTGTTTGAGAGAGAACCATGGTGGTGCTGATTTATATCAGTGTGTTGTTTCTGAGAAATTGTTATCCTAATAAAAATGGATAAAGTCCCATTTAAAGTCTTATTATACTGCACAAACATCTCGTTATACTACAGAAAATTCTCATAATATTGTCCAAATGTTAATGTTGTGATGACATACTGTATAAAAGTAAACGTTCCCCACTATTACAAAATATTATGATAGTTATTTTTTCCCACTGTTGCAGCTCAGTGCTCATTATTAGTCCTGCTGTTATATGAACAACCTCAAATATAAATGGCAAACTGCGACGGCTAGAAAAACGTTTCCTTGTAAGGTCTTAAATAGAGAAAGTGGGGCCAAAAGGGAATTTGCAACACAAGATCAAAAATGATACTGGTACTGCAATATGTATGTAGGTTGGTGTGTGGATGTATGGGTTTGAGTCTATGTGTGTGTCAGATCAGAAATGTGTACATGGTCATGTGATGCTACAGCTTGTTCTACTTTTCTGACAGAGGAATCCTCAGGAATGGAAATGGACCACATGGTTACATTAACCATGGTGCCTGATGCTTTAGCTCTTGAGAAAGGTATTGGCTGAGTTTGGCTTCCCACCGACTTTCCGCCACTGGGCCGGGGTTTCCTGAACTGCACTATATATGCACCTTGTGTGATGACCGCGTACCGCACTGCTTGTTTATCGTCTTGTTGATCCGTCTGTGGGTGTGTTTGCTCGCTCTTCCTGTGTCTTCCTCTCTGCCTTGCCTGTGGTCGTCACTTTGTTTCTCCTCTTGTACGTTTGTTTGGCTTGGTTTTTGTTTTATGGCTTGGCTTTTGGATACTTTCCCTTATGGCCTGTTTTAAATCACTTGTATTCCAGAAACTGGACCATGTAACTGCATTACTAAGCTGAACTGAATGTTTTGGTTAATGATTTAATGCAATTTATTTGCTGTTCTTAATGTTGCTTTGTACTGTAATAGATAAACCCTGGCTTTGTTCAAACACGAGCTGAATGGTAAACTGCAGGGTTTTAGTTGATGAGAGCTTTAGTCGTGATTTCGCCACAGGTGTTTGGATTCTCTTAGAAATTCTGTTGCATGTGAGCACAATTTCATATTTTCTTTCTTTTCGGGGGGGTTGGCTTGAAAAGATACATTGAGCATTACAATATTTTCTTAGCATTTCCCTGCCATGGCTCAAAGCTGGGTGCATGTGTTTGGACCATGATGTAATGCCAAGGCTCGCTGATGCGGCACGGGGGGAAAAAAACAGTGATGAAAGCAGAAGGAACTAATTGGATTCCTCTCACTGGATCACTTCACATTTGTCAGCCTTGGAGACTTGTGAAATGGTCCTTTTCCTCACATGGAAAATATGGGTAGCAAAACATTACATATGAATACAGCATGGGGTGGTAGGGGGAAAAAAGGGGTTATTTGAAAGTGAGCTCACACATCTGTCCACTAATCAATTTGACACTCTTATTCCGTAGATCATGGTACCAATTAGGGAGGATTAATGAAACACAGCAGCAGGTTATTGAGTTAGGATGTAAATAATTGAAATCTTCTTTGATTAAAAGCTTACTAACATGTGTTGTTGCCAGATGAGTTTCTTGTCCAGACCACCCTGCCGTCCACAACAACAACCACCACAGAGATCCCCACTCCAGAGCCAGACACCAGACCATCGAACCATGGCCCGTCGTCAGAGTTTGACCTCAGCGGGAAGAAGAGATTCACAGGTACTTGAACACAGAAACCACAGTGTTACTCTAACACAAATGCACTTAAAGGTCCCCTATTATACTGTTTTTCATCAATATATTATAGGTCTCAGATATATATAAAACATGTCTCTGAAGTGTTTGGCTCGAAATACCAACAGATCATGCATGGTAGCATCCCATAATCCCCTCTGTTTCAGCCCTGTTTCAAAAGTGCTGATTCTGGGTCTGTTACTTTAGATGAAAATAAGGAGCCACTCCCCACGCCCCTCTGAGAGATATTTGGTTAAAAAGAACACACTGGTGCTCTAGGAGGAGATTCAGGTGATAAGGTGGGTGGGGGGGTTACCTTGGTTGGTGATTGGCTAATGGTTACACAAGCCAAAAAACGTTATGACATCATAAAGTGGCCAAAATCTGATCGGGTCATTTTCAGACAGGTTTTTATATAAATGGATCAGGACAAAAAGTGAGCAAATCTTTTTTCCTGAAACTTTCAGAATCTCTTTTCACAGAGGGGGCACATGTTTATGTATAAAAGACATGAAAAAGTGGATTTTGCATAATAGGTGACCTTTAACTCACTAGCTTTTCGTTACACAATTTTAACATACTGTAATCTCTTCCAGAGTTTAGCTTTGAGTCTCTCCTGCAGCTCGAGTCTCATATTTCAGGTTAAACATCATATTTCCAATCTTTTTAAAGGACTTTCATCTCCCTCAGACAGATATACAGCTAATGTGTGAAAAGCAACAGAGATTATACTTTTCTCTTAGTTTCTCTATACTTAAGCTTTGAGAATGTGGTTTGTAAACACATTTTTATTAGGCATATTGGATCGCCTTTATGAAAAAAAACTCATCAATTAGAAAACAAATATATACTTTCGTCTGATGTTTGAAAACCGTCCTCTTCTAAAATATACCTTTTTATGTTTACTGTCAAAGCCAGAGAAAGGCACATATTATCTTCACCGGAAGGCACGATAAATAACATTTGCCTCTTGCTAGGAAAGTTAAAGAGAACATGATTTAGCATGTATACTTGGCTTCTGAGCACTCCATGTTTTTGGTGTCCCTGTTTGGGACTGGTTTGATGAATGTGTGGCTGTGCTGTAAATAATGATGGCTGATGGGAGTTCTGTCTTGTTTCTTTGGGGAGGAATAAAAATGAATCTCTATCTTGGCTTTCTTGGAATTACCTCATAAATCTAGGGCCCTCTAAGACTTCACAGTATCCATCGGCCAAAAAAAAGGAAACACTTAAATGTAGCATGAGTTATTTTTCTCATTCATATCATAATGTAGCTAAATGCAGCTATAGTAAAGCACTAAATCACTGATCTGTGAAATATATATATATATGAAAATCAACATCAATGAGAATGGAAAAGGGGAATAAGTGTATCCATCTAGTTGATTTTAATGGGTCGCTTCCATCTGTAATTGGATCATATCATAGAGTTCACGGAGAACACATTGCTCAGGGTGTAGAGACGTGATCTCAGTCAACTTTGGCCACATGCTTTCCTTTTACTGTTCCTATGTGCTTATTTTGGCGTCTCATAATCACCTCACCTAGTTGCACAAACAGAACACATTATTCTCTTGACAGATAAAAAAACAGCCTCTACATGACTTCAACCTCATAAAAACAACTTAATGTCAGAGGTCCTTTCAATAATGCGTTGTTTAATGACGGTACTTTTTGTGATGTTATCATCTTTTGGAATAACAATTGTGAAGACATTGTATCAGACTTGAATATTACAAGCATTTACAGACAAATACTTGTAAGTACTCAATGTTTAGCTTCTGAAGATTTAGTTCTATTCAGTTAGACCATGATCAGTTATAAGGGATATACAGTTAATACAGTTTGAGACTGTTTTAGGAATAAACCTGTCTTTTACTATATTGTTAAAGTGGACCTATCATGCTATATTTGGATAATATAGTGTAGGACCATACCTATATAAGGCATATTTATACTTTTTTTTTTTCAAAATACCAAACAGATCATGCATTTTAGCCATGCCTCATTTCGCTCAATTTGACATTTTTATCTCTGTTTTTGCAACGGCTGATTCTGTGAGAACAGCACCACCTACAGGCCTGGCATATGTACTACAGCGTCTCCAGCGCTTTCGAACGGCAATGGCCGTGGCTGTCTCCTCCTGATTGGTGGAGTTGGCCCAATAGCCGTAGCGTCACTGTCCTGACGTCAGGACAGTGTTCAAATCTGGATCAGTTTTTATCAGATCCGTTGCAGCCCCTTTTTTAGAGATTTGGGTATAGAGGAAAATAGAGAGGGTTGTGTTTTCTGACACTTGGTGAGTTCCCTGGAACACCGGGGACACATATTCATGTATAAAAGACGTACAAAAGTGCATTTTGCATGATAGGTCCCCTTTAAGTTAGCCGTAGCCTAGCAATAGCTAAAATATAAAGAGTTCTGTCAACATGTGTCAAAAAAAAACTGCAGAAACCTAATATTGCACATACGCATATTGGGATCTGTAAAGAGACAGATTACAAAAGCAATGTTCAAAATAAACACAGCGAAAGCCAATATATTGGGACTTTTATTACTTAGCAAGTGTCAAAAGCACTGGATGCTACACTTCCCATAATGCAACTCAAGCCAAGATGAATGAAAGATGAAGCATGAGTTTTAAGACGTAACAAAAATCTTTCCAAAGTCTTTACAGATTGTGTGTAACTTCCCATGGGAGCAATTTGACTTTGAGATATAAAGTAGTCGGAGTGTCAAATATTGCACCTATTAGAGCCAATTCTAATAAAAAACTATCGCTGTAATTTAGTGCCATTAGTTGCCATGCTAGTCTAACAATGTGGATAAAACTGAGTAATTGCTTTAGTATTATCCATTGACAATTTGATGCAGTTTGTCAGTGTTATATTGATCCATTGGGACACGAACATGGCGTACCCTGGGCACCATCTATCTTGGTAAACAACGGCTCTCTTGTGATCACCTCACAGCGCCATCTGAAAACTATTACTCTTCCTGAGATAAAAACAGGCATTGGAAATCATAAAAGTTAGGGGTGCTGACCTCAGCACAGAGAGAAGGCTTTTTTGGCTCGATGTGGAGACATCCTCTTCCCTATTTATTAGTTTCATATATTCTAGCTTCACATTCAGCAGTCAGCCAGTCGACTGACACGCTTTGCATTAACTGTTTGACTGAGACTTCCCTTTTGTTTCGTTATCTGTCCAGGGATAGTTTGGATGAATCTAGCCTCAGGCAAAACGTGGGACAAAAAGTACAAACTAATAATTATTAGCAGTTGCTTGAACCTGCCTTACAGTAAGATCCAGATGGATGGAGTTTGCCACATGACGACCAGGACATTTAGACTTTGAAAATACTTCCTTATGCCTTACTGATATTAGAGTTGACACTATGTGAACTCTCCGAATACTGTTTCCCAGTGTCATTTGATCCACGTCTGGCTCGCAGTGTTTTGGATTGCGTCTTTCAACAAGCAGAAGAGGACAGACAGAAGGACAAATGAACAGAGCATCTGGATCTTCTGTGTGCCTGAGCCAGTGCTGATCCTGGACATGTGGATGCTGTACTGAAATGCAGCCTTACAAGCCTCTGTGACACATACATCTGCTCACCTTGATGACAGATCAATAACATAAGCCATATGATTGTATACACACACAGTAAGAGCTAGTGACAGCCTAAACCCACAGAGCCTCACAGACTGTGTTGATGAGTTGATACTGACACATGTTGGACTCTTGGCCTGCGCAGAGGGCCAATCATTTTGGGAGGTGGGAGCGACTCCAGTCAGACTAGGAATTGTGGGATATCTGAAGTATTCACAGCTGTAGGTCCAGCTGGCATTTTAAGAGTTGAAAACAACAGAAAGTGACACAATGGGGAGGAGAGAAAACAAAGCAAAGATAGCTGGGCAACTATGCCAACTTCTTTTAAAAATGACTACAAATAAACCACAAATAACATTGAAACTAGAAGGGTGTTTTGAAGTGCAGACCTCCGCCCACGCTCTCAGTGTTAATTAAAGTGAAAAGTAATGTCCTTGGCCCTTCTACACCATTCCACCAAGTTTCATTGAAACCATCCGGGTGTTTTTCAGTAATAAATTGCCAAAACAATAAAATAAATACCTTCTCTTCTGCATCACTTTTTCTTTCCCTCAGCTCCTTATGTGAACTACATCCGGAAGGACCCTTCTTCTCCTTGCTCCTTGACTGAGGCTCTGGAGTTTCTTCAGGTTGACGTCCTAGAAGATCTGATACAAAAGGACAGCCTGAAAGCCAATCAGAAGCAACCTCCCAAAGACAAGCCTCGCAACTTCACAGTGGTCGCCATGGAGGGCTGTCACTCATTCATCATCCTGGACTGGGGCCGCCCACTGAAGGACGATATGGTGTCAGGTGAGACCAATAGGCAAAGTATGAAATGTTTTTTGACCTGTGTATTTATTCAATCAAAAATCTGTTACATATAATCAGACCTTAGTTAAATGTATTTCCCTACTGTGATTTTTGGCCCAAACTATCCATAGTCAAGTTTCCATCCAGATGTAGCACACCTTTTTAAATCAGATATCCTGGGAAAAACCGCAAAACAAAACAAAATGTTGCATAAAAAAAGAGCTTCAGTGATAAAAACATGAAAAGACATGATGCAAATATGGCATTTATGTTTGTCTTATGTCTTTATTAGAGAAACGAAACAGCTCACACATATCTGATTATTTTGTCCGCCACTATTTGTCAGCTTTTCATCTGTGGTTCAGGATTAGCCTTAAACATGTAGCCACCATCCCTCCTGACCCTCCTGAGATTTTAAGAACTCACTCCAGCAGTTTATTGTGCATAAATCATGAGAACAGACTGCATTGAACACATGCTATAGGGCTCTTCAGCTCCTGCAGAGAGTCTCAGGGAAAACCGAAATTCCTTTTACCTAGAAAGTGACACATGAGGGAAAAACAGACGGAGAGTTGAGATAAGAGCATACTGTATGAGACGTGGTGACTGTCGAGGCAGCCGTCTGGCCAGAGAGAGAGGTAGTATGTTTTCTTTGGCAGGGAAACAAGCTCCCAGTCATACTGTGGGCTGGTCCATCTACTGATGTGTAAAACAGATAGTACTCTCTCCTGTCTACAGTGTTTTCTTTCCATCTGTTGTCCTTGAAGTTCCCTATTCTGGCACACTATCTTGACACTTAATTTTTGCACTTAAGTTGTCTGGACATGTCTGCACCTTCCACTGATTTCTCCCATTTCAAAAACCTACTTTGGTTGATCTTACATGCCATGCTACCTTCCAAAAAAACGCATTTCCTTTGATGTGTTGTGAAGCTTATACTGATTCTCTGCTGATATCAAAGATATCAAAGGTAGTTGTCCAAAACACAGAGAGCTTCTAACTTGTGGATTTCATACAGTATCGTAGTACTGCAAAGACATTTTCCGGTACACACACATATGCAGGTACAGTTCACACATGCAGATACGATCACAAGGTGCTGTTTTAGTTATGAGGGCTGGTTTTCTCTGCCATGTCTTACAAGTTATGGGTCACGGCTTTCAAAACAAGTGGATGGAAACAGCTGTTAGCAAAGTGAACTCAAGAGATGAAGGGACATTAGGCACAACAAGTTTTAACGTTAACCCAACTTCTGGTTCCATTTACTGATGCATTAAGGACCTTTTATTTAAGGATGTGGGCAAAACACATCATCCACTGGTTATTATAAGTGTTGCGTTCGGCTCAAAGGACCTGCTCCTTTGGAATAATTGAATACACTTATACCAAAAGGAGAAAAATACTAGGCAAGTGTCTACATCCTACTATATCAAACTTCAGTTTAACAGTGTAGAATGGAGAAGGAATGAAAAACCCAAAAGAAGAAAAACAAAGTAGCTAGTGTTTCCCCTCCTCTCCTGTCAACAGACAGCTGTGTTGGTGCGGCTCCAGTCAAAATAGAAACTCGGATTCAGAAGTCCAATAGAAACAGAGGGTAGTTTGATGTGCGGCAGAGTTGCTCTCCATACTTTTAAAGTGAGTGATCGAGTGCCTCGTGACCTGAGGTTGCTTACCGGATTCTAAGGATCAGTCTGCGTGACTGAGGAGAAGAAAACAGACGGCAGGTTGGAGGACGGTCAGCAGACGTTTAAGAAAATGCAACGGCTGCAGTTTTCTCTGTTTAATATATGGGGGACCACCTACTCTTTACGCATAAAGTAAATGTTGATACTTTATAAATAGCAAAGGTCATGTGAGTCCAAGGTTGGTAAAGCAGAAAGGCTGCTGGGTTTGTTACTTTTGGACCGAGGCAGGCGAGCCCTTTCAAGGTTATCTTTATTGTCCCACTCGGGGACATTTATTTTGCAGCCAGGCTTCACATATATAAAGGGAATACCAAAAGACAGCATAAAAACAGCTTGTAACTTAACAAAATAACAGCTGCTTCCTGATGTTTTCAAGCACACTGCCTTTTTTGCCTTGCTTCCCAACATGCTGTGCCTTTCCAAAGTTATTATTGATCCCAATAAAAATCTCCAGGTTTTGATCCAACAAAAGAATGTATGGGATCATCCACGGTCTGGAAAATGCTATCATATTCGCAGGAGAATATTGCATCTGTATTTGATTGTTTGGGAATCGTGGTTACTCCAGGCAAAGTTCACAATAAATGCCAAAAAGAATAGGTAATAAATATCTATTCCTGACAAGTTCCAAAAAACAACACTAAGAAGAAAAAGTGAGGCAGTGTAAGAATCACTAGAAAAATACCTTTTTAAAAAACAGATTGTTGTACTGCTAGCTTCATATTTACCTTATTGACATTTTACGGTATCGTCTGTCTCATCCAACTTTTGGTTAAATAAGATTTAAAGTCTCAAAATGTCAAAGTATTCATCTCTTATTGAACTTTATCTTATTGTTTTGTGTTATGTCGGACAGCAACAGCTAAAGATATCCGCCCTTTTTTTCGTTCATTATTCCCCACAGGCTACATGGTGTACAGTGCTTCATATGACGACGTCCTCAACAATAGATGGTCCTCTAACCCCTCCAGTGGGACACACCTGGCTGTGGAGAACCTCAAACCTAACTCCAGGTATAACACATTACCACCTGCTGTGTGTTTACATCAATGTGTACGCATGCATACAACACACACATGCTCGTTTCGGGGTTGATTTCAGGTTCAGTGATTCCCAGTATCATCGCACACATGGGAGTCATAGAAAAAGAGAATCTGATTTACAAACAAAGATTTGTTATGTTGAAACATGGCTTACTCAGAACTGCATGTAATGTTTCCTAAGCCTCAGGTGCAGGTGTTTGGCTCTGTTTATAAATGCCGTCATGACATAGTGCGCAAAACGTGCGTGTTTGTCTGGATGTTTCTTTTGTTTCATGTGCACATGCATACGTGTCTGTTGGTATTGTTCCATTGTGTTGGTTGGATGCTTAGACTGCAATGCTTGTGTGAGACATCATAAATCCCTCATAGTGAACTAAATCAGTTTGGCTAAACGGAGGCAGGTCAAGAAACACATTTGAATGTGCCCCAAAATGTGACATGCTGTAAAACTCCTAGAAACTTCTGGCTAACGTAAATATAGCGCACTTTATATCTGACACTTTCACAAGGATACAGTCACCTCGGTCTGCTTCAGTTATTAGAGTGTGTTTTCAGAACCCTGTCTTACGAGACATGGGTTGCGGTTTTCAAAAATGAATGCATGGAAAACGCTCTTAGCATGTGGACCCGAGAGAGGAAGGGAGAGTTCTTTGCCTAAAAACCTTTTTGTTGTTCCACTTCAAGGGTACGGTTTAATAGTACTCCAGCTTTTCAGCAAGTTTGATCGAATTACATGGGACTAAAGGATCAGTTTAGTCATAATTGAGCCAATGTGTGATACAAGTAAAATCATGTAAATCGTTTCCTACCTTACACAAAAAATGTGTTGTCTGAAAATGAATTTCAGATGTGTGGGTTCATCAGGGATAAATTATCCTTTTGAGCAGTGCAGGCACAAATCGGCTCAAGGTGTTATTATAGGTGTCATTTTGTGGACCTTCAGAACCCAAACACCTGCTGCTGAACCCAAACAGAGCTGTGGGCATTAGGTAAAGTTTTCCTAGAATCTGCACAGAGGGATTCCCTCCCTGGCAACCAGTTTGTATTCAGGATAGTGCGTCTCCCTTGGTTACGTTTGATCCCGGGATGGTTTATGTGACAGGGTTGGCATTTCCCATGCTGCAGGCTTCTTCTGGTTGCCAGAACAACAGAGTACTCAAGTCCTAAACACACATGTGTATGTACACAAACATGTGGACACGTTTATTGGTATCCACAAGTTTTCCTGATAAAAAAACGGATAAATTGAATGAATTACAAAGCATTTTCAAATTTAAAATGTAATCCAATGTGATGATCCTAAACTCATACTTTCTGATCTTTCTGGAGATGCCTGTTTTGAATTACTTTTACTAGTTGAATTCATTTGTCAAAGGCAAATATTTAATTATTTCATCTTGTGTGAACATTTGCTGCTTTGTCTAACATGATATTAATCATGATTGATTCTCTTCATTGTTGGTTGAACAAACATTTGACTGGGTCACATTGGACTACAGGAAAAAGTGATTTTTCACTGGATCAGATTATTCTGTAAAGAAAATAATTGCAACCCTAATAGTCTTACTATTTCTTCTGCTGCATTCAGGTCTCTTGCAAAAGGGAGATAAATAGAAATAGGATTTGTTGTGAATTTGAAACATCTCTGCTGGTTTTTCCCTACTTTTGAAACATATGAGTTTCAGTAAATGCATTAGAAAAATTGAGTTTATAATCGATAGTTCACTAGTGTCTGAGGAGCATGTCATTTGGCCAGTTGCATAGATTTCCATCTGATAAGAAGACAAGAAGAGATGCTCTAAATGAAAGTAAGAGCTATCTATATTGAACATATAAAATAGCTAGCTTGCCTCCTTCTGTTTTTACATTCTCACTCATATTTTTCTCTTTTTTTACCTTCTCCAATTTCTTCTCCAATATATACTTTCATTACATCATCTCTCTGCAGCTGCCGTCTCTCTCCCTCTCTGGTGATATATATTTTGGTCATTGTCGCCACGTGGCTCTGGTGATTGGATCCAGGCCTGGTGGCTGCATGTGGTGAAGGATTTCGGCCAGGGATTGACAGACCATGAACTTACTGTATGCGACCTTGCAGACTGGGGGCAAAGCACATATGCGCACAATACTGCATTAATGAACACATGCTTGCACGTCAGCCAACTTCAGTGGAAAAGTTAGCAAATTCTCAAAGTTGTCACTGGTGTTGTCGTTTTTAGACGATTTATTAGTTCCTCCACCACCCGGAGACAAAGTGAGCTCACTACCATATTAAAGCTCTGTGAGAAATCTAACTAATCCTGTCTTTCCAACTCATCCCTGTTATACATTCTCACTCAGCATATTTATCCCACTGCTTTACTTTTTCCACATCTTCACTTTTTCTTTCTTTCATTCGTGTCCTCTGTCCTCCTATCTGCTAATGTCCTTAATCGTCTAGATGTCTCCTTTTCCCCTCTACGCCCTTCCCTCCACCCTAATCCCTCCATTCTCCCTTCAACACGAGCCAAATAGCCATTTTATTGTGCTGCGCTCACTTTGGATTCGTATGAATATAAAACAGACTACTCTTAAATCAGCCTGAAGCATGCCCAGTCATCTGCTATGGTCTTTAAAATGTTCCTCACCTTCACCCAGTCACAACAACACTGATGGAAAAACACTTTAACTACTAAATGTCTTATTATATCCTTGTGTTTCCATTCAGGTACTACTTCAAAGTGCGGGCCAAGAACGTGTTTGGTTTGGGACCTGTGAGCCATACACTCACCTATGTCACAGAATCAGGTGTGTATCCTGTCAACGCCTGCTAAAGTAAACTTTTAGACGCCTCATTTACTCCACCGTCACTCGCTAGATTTTTTCTGCTGTACTTGAGACATCCTGTTGGACGGCAGCATGCAACGAAAATGTCACGGTGACGTTCATGGCATTGAAATACAAGATATTTAAATATAAAACCATCCCTGGCGTAAAAGCACACTACCAGATGTACGCTGTGCATTATGGGGTTTTCATTTTTCAAATCAGGAGAATGCATTAAACCTGCAGCGCTGCCTCTGTGCTTTTCCTCCCTGTGAAATGATCACATTTTTTCTTTCAGACGATCCTCTTCTCATCGAAAGACCACCTGGTAAGTGCATACACCGACTGCACCTCATTCATTTAACTTCTGCAAGTCAGCTGAAGGTTTCAAAGAGGGAAGCATACTTCAGTTTGAATTGTAATCCACTTCTGATCTGTAGCAGTCCTGTGATTGCTACTGTGTGAGGCAATCAATCATTATTTTTTCTTTGTAATGTACTTTTTATTGGCATTTAGTGTCAAACAGCGTCGCAACATATTGTACATTGCATCTTTACATGCATGACATAAATCTGTTCATAGTTCTTTTTAGCAATATACACATGATGACACAAAAAGCCCATATGAGAAAGACATAAAGAAAATTCTTAATTAGCCAGAATGATGTATAGGCCGACTTAAGCTTATTGCTGATACTTTTTACAGTGTATATGTTGGCCAATATGTATTTGTTTCTAATCGATATCAGTTTCTCCATAGCTCCAGCATGTCTTTTCACAACATACATATTTCAATGCCACAACATCTGCTCCTCAGGCGGAGAACCAATCTGGATCCCTTTCAGCTTCAAGTTTAACTCCGCCCACAGCAGCTGTAAGGGCAGCCAGTATGTAAAGCGGACATGGTACAGGAAGTTTGTGGGCGTGGTCTTGTGTAATTCTCTCCGATATAAGATCTTCATGGGGGATGGTCTGAGAGGTAAAGTATAAATTAACTTCTGCTTGAAAAAACAGTTCAAATCGATGGTTTTCCCATCAAAGAAATACTAAATATGATACTCGCTTTTCCCCCCCGCAGAACCATTTTACAGTATAGGAGACACTTTTGGCCAGGGGGAGGACCATTGCCAGTTTGTGGACTCCTACAGGGATGGGAGGACGGGTCCAGCTTACCTCTCAAATAATCTGCCCTCAGCACAAGGTAAACAAGTTGCAGATTTCTGGCATTGATATTCAGACCTAAGCTATTAGCTTTCTCTCATGCAGTCTGGCTCTTTATGGACCAGCTGCATTGATGTTATCAGAATACTGTTGCAGAGTCGTTTTAAATGAATACTTGTTCAAGAATCTACCAGTTTTGCTTGTTTTAGCCTAAATCTCATATGCTTTTCATTACCGTAGACCATTTGCCTAATTAAACCTTAACTTTGTAAATGAATGCCATTACTTGTTGGCTATCTGTGGTTCCAGGTCATATCAGTACACAGGGGAAATACATGAAACTTGCTCGGGTTAAGTTATCCATCAACTTGTTTATTTTTAAGTTTTATTTTTCTATAAAAGTTAGATAACATTAGTGCGGTTTTATGATTGAAAGTAGCTGGTGTTGTGAAACACTTTTGATGTGTTTGACATCCAGATCACTCTGGATGAACCTTTCCAATGCAAGAAAAGAACAAATCCACCATATCATCTTCAACCACTTGATTACAGATTTCCAATTAAAATACCTCATGCGTGTTCTTTGAAACTGAGTTTTAATGATGTAGAAGTTCTGTGTATTGGCTTTTATTTAGAAATGAAGGCTGTTCCAATTCTCTATTTTTCAACAAAGCCAGGGAAATACTTAAATGTTTGACGTCTGCGAATATTATCTGATTTTCTATCCCTAGGACTGATTATCAAGCCTAGTGCAGGGGTCACAATTATATAGTTTCATTGAAAACCAAAAAAAGCTCAGTTATCTTCCTAGAAATGATAGGCACTGTAGTTTATTTTAATCAGCAATTGATTCTAATTTGGAACACAAGTGAGTATTTACAGCAGTAGGATGTCTGTATATGGGAGTGACTCTTAATGCCTACAGTATGTTCGTTATACGGAACAGGTCCCACAATGCAACAGTGCAACACATTGACTTGTTTTTAATCGTTTTTGGACATCAGTGATGGTCTACAGCACATAGGAATCATTTTCATCAGTCATGGATACACAGACAATCCAATGATTTCAGCTGTGAGAGGCCCTGGGAGACTGTAGAGTTGACATGATGTCAAGCAAATACATAACTAAGAAATTGCTAACAGTGATGATTAATGATGATTACATCCAGACATGCTGAATTCAAGTCTCGTGTAAATATAATTTCTCTCTTTTGCAGGATATTACCGCGCCTACAGACAGCAGCCAGTTTCATTTGGAGTCATTGGCCGACGCACAGCCCATCCATTTGTGGGCTGGTATGAATGCGGGGTGCCCATCCCCGGGAAGTGGTAACACAGGGGGAGACGTTGTTACCGAGGGCAACCCTTCTGCATCCTGCTGCAGGCTCTTACCTTCACTGGTCTTGCCTTTAAAACAGACTTTTGCCTGCCACAATGAAATTACACCACTATGAATTTATCCCAGCTTCACAGAAAGAGAATATAGTAAACGACCCAATGTATATCATTACAATGCACTTTTTATATAAAGCAGTTTGTATATGAGGGAAAAAATAAGCATGTGTGCTATTGCTACGTATAACTCTTCTTAAAGTGTCATTGTATTATTCCCAACCATCCCCAAAGACATGTCCTCACCCAGTGTTATTTATCTCATCAATAACGCACACGCACCGTCAAACCAGTGACATTGGACCAAAGCACAAGCTGCAAAGTAAACTGTAAGAACGGGCACTTAAAGGTGTGTATAGGTCTGTTCATTTTCTATTGTGAGATTTGTATTTCATAACGTAACAGCTTCTGACTTTTTGTTTGTTTGTTTGTGTTCTTAATCCATCATACTGTGTTTTTTTCCCTGTTACACATTTTTGGTATTCACCAGAATTCATTAAAAGTTACTGTGTAAGTTTTGTATGTATACGGACCATGAATAAAAGACCAAATATTTGCTCAGGAACTGTGAGAGATTGAATAAAAGTGCTATTAAAACCACAGCCATCCAAAAACATGAATCACATCATATTCTCCCGCTGCCACATTCTTCTTTAGCTAAAGCTCCAACAGTATACTTAAATCAACCTAATGGAAAATTGGAGGGAAACTTTGATCCATCTGGCACAGCAACTGTTAAAATAAAACACAAAACTAAACGTATTGAACCGAAGCAGGTGAGGGGGAAATAGAGAGGTTTATTGGCTCAAGCATGTGAGCAAATGGGGAAGAAACCATGTGGACGGTTTTAACAAACACAACCCATAAATATCCACATTTGCCTTGGATTGCTTTTGTACCATAAATCTATTTGGTTTGAAATCAGTGATAAATAGTTACAAAGTACATATTCTCAAGTACATTTCTTCAGTATATACATTTTATTTAATAATTGTGTATTGAAAAGTATACAACTATGTTATGAGTACATAACATCCATTTTATTTTAAACGAAAATACAATATTTTTGTTCTAATATTAAATACAATATTTTAGGATTATTAATACTATAAATGCACTTTAATGCATTTAACTGTTGTAGTTGGTCAAGGTGGAGCTAATTTAAATGAACGTAATGTATTATATTTTAATATTATAGCATCTTTCTTGTGTAATGTAACCTTTAACTGTTAATATGAAGGGAGGTCAAAAGTATTGGTATAAAGCTGCAGAAAATGTAAATACTTGTTAAATGTATAACATTCCTCCAGTTTTTTTTAAATATTTTTTAATCTTTATTTTTTTAATGCAATATTTTTACTTGGAATGGAGTATTTCACCACTGCTTCATTTCTTATATTACTCCGGTAAAGGTTATGAATACTTCTCCAATATTGCTGAAATAGGACTCACATCTGCGGTGTTAGAGTTGGAGAGGCCTACAGGACACATTTGTAGAAGATTTGTAGATCATTAGTGCCTTTTTGATCCTTGAAACGGAGTATTAATCGAATTACCTGACGGATGAGTTCAAATATTTCTTCCAAAGTTGCTAACTTCCGATAAAATCTTTTACAGGGAATACACTTTCATTTTCATGCCCAAAACCAATTATCGAGGTCCGGTTTTATTATGTTGTTCGAATTAAACTCCATCTGTGTAAAATAACAGAGTAAAAAAAGGAAAACGTTTCATAAGTGGGTCAGCTCAAGAAACCAGGTGGAAACTATTTCACAGATGAATATTAACAAATGGAGAGGTCTGGGTGGCATGTGTTGCAAATTATTCAGTATTGCAGTTATGAGATTTGGATTCATTCTCAAGATTGATTGCTCTTTCCGTAAAGCCCAACGGCAGAACTGGCGCTGCCCTTTTCACTGCTGGACTAAAACTGATTGCAACTGTCAGATTTCTTTTAGAAAAAGTTGATGATATCCAGTAGCAGCAAGGCTACTCAATTTCAACACATGCAACACAACTCCGTCATATAGCAAGTTACGTATCACTTTTAATAATCCCCATCATTCCTCCAGGAGTAGAATAGGATCTTTATAACACACAAAGGTTGAGCGTCATGCTATACATCCATCACTGTGACACCTTCACTTACTCAGCCAAGAATAGCTGAAGAAATGCAGAAATCTCCCAAAACATTCCCATTACATTAAGCAGAGTTGATTCAGCTCTCACTTACCTTACTTGAACTCTGCAGAGTTTCAAAGGTCTGACCGGCACTCCTTTATCAGGCGCTAGTTTGTTGAGGTTGGCTCTGATGTACAAAAGCAGTCCGATTTGAAAGACATTGAATTATGATTGAGTTTTGAGAGAGCATGACATATTTTCCCTTGGCAGTGAAAGAGAGATAATAATTGTTTTGAAGTGATTTGTCAACACTTTGGTGGAAGGTGTCATATATCAAGTGTATTTTCCAGGTATGCTGAGTGTGGATGAAAGCCTCTGTTGCTTGTGTTGTCGGTGAGGGGATGAAATATTTTCATTGGCTGCATGTTGCCTTGAGTTGACCACAATATGGAAATGTATTTCAATGCATTATGGGGAATCCCAATCTGAAAGTACATGAAAGAAATGGGGGGAAAAGAGGAGAGGAGACAAGAACAAACACACTTCTAAACATGCGTACATGAAGGCTACCACATCTGTTACAGCCTAAAGTTGCAGTTAAACTCGTATGTGTGCTTGTGTGTATCTCGTTCAGAAATGATGACTGCTGAAAAATAGATAAACTATAACCAATATAACACGAGTTCCAAAGCTACAAGCTGAAAAAACATGAATGTGGTCCAGGATTTTAACTCTGCACCACTGCAAGGAAATCGTTTTTGGAAAGACCTGAAACGCATAAGTTAGAGCATGTGATTCTGAAACCCCTAGCTGTGGCATTTTAACAGCCTATTCATCAAAATAAGTTAAAAAACCTTTGCTTCAAACAAGAGTTCTGACCCAACAACAAGTCTGGATGTCACACATGTCATCACAGACAGTAAGAGACAAAACACACAGAAGGGGTTCTTACTTTATAGCTTTGACTTTTAATTACGACATAAAGACTGCCAAACAAACTGAAAACAACTAAGAGAAAGTGCAGAACGAGGTGTCGAAATATAGGAATTAATGAGCCATCTTTTTTTTTTTCCAACCATGAAATGATACAAGAGGAGGACAGGGTGAAGCTCTGTACAACCCTCTGCTGAACAAGACATTATTCGGTGACCAAAATGTTCAAATGAACCTTCACAAACTGAAAACAAAGTGTCAAAATCCCGAACAACGCAAGTTACGTTATGTTGAGGCAGAAATTCTCTAGAAATGATTTATCTTGAGGAGGTTATTATGGGTAATCGCTCAGTTTGAGTGTGGAGTCAACGCTTTAGCAAACTGATTCATTGATAGAACTTCCGACTGCAGGTAGAAAGAAGAGAAACATAATACAAAACAAAGAATGCTTGTGAACATTTGCTCACAAGTAGCATGTAGAAAGGTAGGTTGGTTATTATACTCGATTATTAATGGCTGTAGCTGCTCTACTCCCCAGTGAGGCTAATACTGATAAAAGGCTATTGAAGACCACAATCACATCATGTATCTGCTGGAATCTGTGCTCATCTAGGCAGGCTGGTCCTCACACACACACACACACACACACACACACACACACACACACACACACACACACACACACACACACACACACACACACACACACACACACACACACACACACACACACACACACACACACACACACACCACTTTAATGAACAGAGTTTGGCTAATCAAATGTAGGATCACTGATAGTCGTTTTCTCTTCTCATTAAGAATTGTCCTCATTTTTCAGCATTGACAATTGGATCATGAACTGGATTGTGATTGCAACTCCTTTGATCAACAAGCCAAAAGCTGACATCAGAAGACAGGAGGATGAAATAGTGAGCGCGACCAATATCCACAGTGTACACATACTGTAAACAAAAACCAAGACATCCATCTGTGATGACACGGCAATAACACATCATATGTCAGCTATTTTCCAGCGTGTGTCACATGTTCTGTAATAGTTTTCAGTCAAGGTCTGTGCACAGAGCAAACTGCAGATCTTTTATATAAAAAGAGGGCAAAAGGCCACGCTAGCTTGATTGAGTCCAGGCTCAGCTGACTTTCCACACGTGGATCTTACATTAAAATGCAGCTACTTTTCAAACCGGCTGCTGAAAGCCAGACAACTACTCCTTGCTTTAATGTATTGATCAAGAGAAAGCTTAATTCTATACATTTGAATATACTACAGAATTGATTATTTACAGCAACATTACATATCTTATAGAAACATGCGTGGCTGTAAAAGAATGCAGGTTTCCACATGCTGAGTTTTTTTTTGTTTCTTTTTGATAGAAGTGGGTCACATGCTGGAAAAAGTTAGACTTCATTCTAGAGAGCTGAAATCATCGCACACAGAATCAGTTGAAGGTTGAAGGGGGAAAAGTACAAGAGAGTGGAAAAAGGGTGAGAAGCAGACACTCAAAGTCAAGAATTGAACAAGCAACGTCATGTTTTATTTCCATTCTCTATGTTCAGAACTTAGATAAGCTTAAGTTTAGATAAGATAAGCTATGTGATACTTAACAGATGGGGAAAGTGTTTTCTTTGTATTCATCTATTTTAACAATACTGTAAGTGAGGGATATGTGCAAAAATAATTAATTAATTTTATCGTATTTGGAAAACGTTTTAGTTAAAAGAGTCCAATTTCTAGTCTTACCGAGCTGTTTTGTTTGAAATAAATCTGACTTTTTTGGTTTAAGAAAATACTAATCGTGATAGACAAGAAGATCGTAAGGCCCCTAGATGATACAGTTTAATCTGTGTAATAATAGTTTAAACAATATTACATGTATTGGAAGAGAAATCATACTGGCAAGAGAGAGGATGTGCAGAGAGTCCAGGGGGAATATTGAGTATCGTTAGCGGTATCAGTCACAATGACAGGAGCCATGAACAACAGAGACCGAAAAACAGCTTGTCCCTCTGAACAAGCTTTTCATGAAAAAAAAGTTTAATGAAAATTACAGATCTGGGATTTCCTAATTGCTCAGAGACCTAATATTTACTGAACTCCAAGATTACATAACAGGCCGGCTGCAGTGACAGATCACCGGTTTCTTTTTTTGGATGAAAGTCGGGGCTCTGTTTTGATCGCTACTCTGAGCTCATTGTAACAGTCTGTAATGAACTCAGCCTTACAATTATATCATGCTTCAGGCATGCCCATAGGTCACGCATTAACCTAAGGAACTCTGCAGGGGGATTTAAAATGTGAGCATAGAGGAGTCAAAGACCTCACTGTATCATTTCCTATCGTGATATATTTCAGAGGTAATTACATTATATGGTGACAGGGAGTTTAGAGATATGGTTTCAAGTTGTTTTATATATATATAAACAGTGAAGCAGTCGTTGGAAGTGAACTTCATAGATCCATCCAACAATGCTTTAATACAG